CGTTTCTCTTATCAATTCAATCAAGGCTTAGATTGACAATTAATGATCAGTTTTCTCGTTTGTGGTCGTATTCATTTTGATCTTTCACATTGTGTCGTTCTCTGTTGTTTTCATAGCAATGTACTATTAATCATGCATAAAATGGCTGAAACTAGTGACATAAGATGTTTTCAATGTACTTTGAGGATGAAGTTTGCTTTAGTGAGAGTCATGAACGAGTGGGGGTATAGACGTATAGTGAGTTGATGTGTTGGTATGCTAACGATATAGCACAATGTAGATGATAATCATATGGGCATTTTCTCTTTGTTGTGTTTGCTTCCTTCTTGTTTCTGTACCACTTATGACTAGTAAATGGAATTACATGCTGCAAGCTTATTTCTTTTCAATTTAGTTGCCAAATTACTGTTGTTTAATGTCATAAGCTCACAAGCTCTTACATATTGTCATTTATGCAGACATACAGTGTAAGCTTTGGCAGTAAATCATGGGCTCCTGGCTATGCATTGGACCTGAAGTCAAACAACTTAAGACTGAGAAAACAGTCAGTAGTATGCATGTCTGTGCAACAAACTACCGCACCTAAAGTTGCGGTTTCACCTCTAGCTCTTGAAGATGTTAAAGAACCTCCAATGCATGTGTACAAGGCCAAGGAGCCCTATACAGGAACCATTGTTTCTGTTGAGAGGGTTGTTGGTCCTAAGGCTCCTGGGGAAACATGCCACATTGTGATCGATCATGGTGGCAATGTTCCCTACTGGGAAGGGCAGAGCTATGGTGTTATTCCCCCGGTATGCCATTCCATTTCCTGCTGCTCATTCTTATTTGCTCACTTGTCTATGTTTGATTCATTGGACATGTGAACAGTTTTTTTTTTTTTTTTTAATTGGGTGGGGGATGTATGGGGTTGGAATGTGGGATAGACGGATAGGTGGTTATTCACAGATTTGAACCTGAGAAACTTAACCCTGCTGATGGTGGGAATTGTATAGGTTTGTTATTGTAGTCTTGTAGATGCTCTCTTGAGGGTTTCTTGTTTATCAAACTTGTAGCCTCAAGTCTGTGTGGCTTTAAATTTTTTCTATTAATTGGTCATTTCTAATCATTTGATCATCTCTATGGTTTGAGCACATGAGCTAACTGAAGTCCTAATTCATTGAACAGGGTGAGAACCCCAAGAAACCTGGAAAACCTCATAATGTGCGACTCTATTCCATTGCTTCTACGAGGTATGGAGACCATTTTGATGGGAAAACTGCAACTTTATGTGTTCGTCGAGCAGTCTATTATGATCCCGAGACAGGTAAAGAGGACCCTTCTAAGATGGGCGTATGCAGCAATTTCCTTTGCGATTCCAAGCCTGGAGACAAGGTCCAGATAGCTGGTAAGTTGCATCTAATTTTGTGGAAGGTGTAAACTTAGCCTGTTGATTTGTTGCCATGTAGTGTCTATAGATATTGTCAAAAGGTGTCAACTTATTGCATATTCTTGCCTTTTATTGTGCAAGTAAGAATCAATATCTGTTGAAGTGATTCAGAAAAACTTATACTCAGTGTTATCTTTACAATTCTAGAAGGGAACATAATTCTCAGAAAAATTCACTTTCCTACCAAAGCAGTGTTCTTGGGTAAATGATGTAAATACCTGTATATGTCCTAAAGGAGTTCTTATGTCTGTTTGCAAACTCTAGTTTCATGCTGTTCAAGGTGCTCCTGTTTTTTTTTTTTTATTTTTTTTATTTTTTTTATTTTTTTTTATTTTTTTTTATTTTTTATCATTGTCTCAAATTTGGATAAAAATTCTCTAATCTTGTCTGGTGCAAGATGTTTTTACCTTTCAATAGGCTGAGTTTTGTCAATTAAGCTTCAGGTCTAGAACCATTTTCACAATTCATTTCCCAAATGTCAAATTCAGGTCATAAAAAATGTATTTGAAAGCCAAGTTTTCAGGTCTATTTCTATTCTTGGTTTGGGGCAGTTTTTGTCACTCAAGCTTACAGTACTCGTTATAAGATGCCAGTAATCAGCTAACCGTCAAAAAATGATAGTCTCCAACCTACTAATGCTCCTACTACTAGAAAGATGGGATTTTTATTATAAGACCACCCATTGGTATAATTGTTTCTGCTATTAATGTCACCCATGCTATTTTTGCAGGTCCTTCGGGCAAGGTTATGCTTTTACCTGAGGACCCAAATGCCACCCACATAATGATTGCTACAGGAACTGGGGTGGCTCCTTACAGAGGCTACCTTCGACGCATGTTCATGGAGGATGTCCCCACGTACAAGTTCAAAGGCCTAGCTTGGCTTTTCCTTGGGGTGGCCAACACCGACAGTCTTCTATATGACGATGAATTTACCAAATATCTAAAAGATCACCCAGATAATTTCCGGTATGACACAGCTCTTAGCCGAGAACATAAAAACAAGAAGGGTGGAAAGATGTATGTTCAGGATAAGATTGAAGAATACAGTGATGAAATCTTTAAGCTACTTGACAATGGAGCTCATATATATTTCTGTGGGCTGAAAGGAATGATGCCCGGAATCCAAGATACCCTAAAGAGAGTTGCGGAAGAGAGGGGGGAGAGCTGGGACGAAAAGCTTTCTCAGCTGAAGAAGAACCAGCAGTGGCATGTAGAGGTATATTGATACATGTATACCATGTTATTCTTTGGATGCTTCAATGTAGAAAGAAGATTTGATCATTGGCTTTTAGTCTGGGTGAATGGCTAGCATTTTAGAAGTGGAGATTTATCCCTGTTTAATGAATTTTCTTGAAATTTGTTGATCAATTTTCCCTCTATTATTATTGCTAATAATTGAAATTGAGTTGGCAAATTTGGCAATATATGATGAGTTTGATAGATAAAGGGTGTTGTCTTTGTTCTTATTTTGCATTTTTGCTACCTCCTCCATGTCTTTTTTTTAATTCTTACTTTTATTTTCTCATTGTTTATCTATGGACAAACTAACCTCTTTTGTTATGGAATCTGTCGCGTAGTCAAGTGTTACTATCATTGGTACACCTAATTTCCCAGCCCAAGAAAATAGTCATGCATATTTAGGCCCATGAAGTGAGGTTCAATATGGGCCATTAATCAAGCCCATATTTTCATTTGTTATAGAATCTGTCAATTATATGCGTAGTCAAGTGTTACAAAATAGTCACGCACATTAACTCCCTACTAATACTAACACTGTAAACAGACAAATTAATCAAGATAATTTATACACGTAGTAAGTAGTAACTAACCCTTCGCTAATCATAGTGTTCAAATTATTTGTTAAATTCACTCATTTACCTACTCTAATCAACCCCTAAAAAACATGGTAAAAAGGTGTATTGTATTTAAAAGAAAACAGAGGAATTACGTTTTAAAATATGTTTTGGAGAATGTTAAAGTCAAATGAAATAATTAGTTTTAAGAGACAATAGGGAGTTAATTATTACACACCAATATTTTATTAGATGTATCCCATATTATTAAAGCCTATACATGGAATATAACAACTATTAACACTTAAATTCATTCCGATTTTCATATGTAAGTCAAAATCATAATGTTATATTATTGATAGATTGCCAATGTGATATTCTTTATTTCTACACGTGAAGATTATTATCAAGATCATAAAGGGCAGTTAAATATTGGGGAAGGTTTAGATTTGGTAGGAAAATTACAAAAACTATTCAAGCGTATTCAATGAATAGGGTCTTAGAAAATTCTTAGTATTAGTAGGTAATTAGTCATTGTCTTACTATTTCTTCATGTGACATTATTAAGCTCTTTCAAGCCTCCGCCCTTGTGGGTCTGCTGCTAAGGAAAAATAACAAATGTAGTCATGCACTCGTGCTAGGTATTATTTACACGTCCATTTTTTATAAGAGGATATTTCACACCATGTAAAAGACTTGTACCGTGCCATGACTGCCATCGTCCTCAAATAATAGTCACATTTATCCTTATAATTAATTAATGTATTCAAAATATCGTACTTTCAAACAAGCTTATATATGAAGATTGTTGTTTTGGCTCATTCAATATGTAATACGAGTAGTGAATAGTGATTGTAGTATTATTGAAGTTATCTAATTAGGTTTTGGAATCAAATCTTATTTTTGGAAGTGAGTGAGGATTGAGGAGATAATTGGTTTGAACTAATGAATTAAAGCGTTTTATACAAGGTTGTCATTTTGTCATATTATTGAGCTCTTTTTTTTTTTCTTTTTTTTTTTCTTCTATAATTCATTATATACTAATCAATTATACGGAGTGGTTACAATTTAAACTCACCTTATTGTACCTAGTTGGAGCAAGCTAATCTGAAATGAGCTGTCATAAGATTAACTATTACAAAAACACCATAATTAAGCGCCCATTATTACCTAGTACTATACTAAATAATGGCCTAATAGGTCAAAAAGTATGGATTTCTTTATTCATAAACACTCACATTTCAAATGTGTTACTCTCCTATGTAAAAGGTCTTATAATTTATATCCATCTTGCTGTGAGTCCGAACTCATACAATATTTTTTTCGAAAAAAAAAATTCAATAAAAAAATTAGACCGACCTTAATGTGTCTTGATTAATAGTTGACCGCTTGACCTTTGTGCTTTGCCAATGCGAATGTCCATGTTCCTCAATCCCCACTATCTCACACGTTCAAGAGTTAAGATACCAAACTTTAAAATGACCATTTTGCTATGTACTTATTGCATACGAGTAGCTAATTACATATTTTCATGTACTAAAGTCTACAACTTTCCATCATCATATATTCATATCATATAAAATTCAGAATTAATTAGCTCATCATCTTTAAATTAGTAAATTTATTTTTAAGTACCGATTTATTTTATTTAAAATGATAGCAAAATAATTACATACGTGTCGTTTAGTTATAGATTATCAATTACTATTACTTGGTTTTTAATATGGGAATTAATTAATAGTACATAATAAACATTGTTTAATTATAAATTTATAATATACTTCATGTCCATGATCCATATAACTTAACACGAATTAAGGTTGTAACAAATTCAATGGCTATAATAATAAAAAAAAAAAATGGAGAGAAAAAAACTTACTTATACGTAAGCCTAACAACTAAGATGACCCATCTATAAGGAAAAAAAAGAAAAAAAAAAAGAAAAAAAAAAAGACATATTAATAAGCTTTATTTATACTATATATAAATATACTCTTCAAACTTTAGCTTATAAATACACCCATCCTCGTATATACTTATTCCTAGCAGCATCATTAGCTGATAACACCTTCATTTTTCTCTTCTTCAAGCTAATACAGCTTAAATTATACTGTTACCAAAATATTTTCTTTGTAAAGAAAAATGGCGGATAATAATGAGAATGGATATCCAATAAAAACAGTGGTTTTGTTGGTTATGGAGAATAGATCCTTTGATCACATGCTAGGATGGATGAAATCTCTCAACCCGGAAATCGACGGTTTAACGGGTCAGGAGTCTAACCCGTTAAACACTTCGGATCCCAACTCGGGTCATATCAAATTCGGAGATGGGTCTGTTTTTGTGGATCCAAACCCTGGTCATTCTTACCAAGATATCTATGAACAGGTAAACTATTTAATTTGCTACACTTTCTGTTGGGTTATTTTGTGTGACTTGTGTTTTGGATGAGCTATCCTCGTCAGTTATACTTCGTAGCCTACTGTCATTGAAATGCGTGTCTACTTTTTCCGTTTTTTATTAGTCTCAACATTATGTCATTATATAAATGGTTATACCAGTATTTCACAATTTTTGCTTATATATGAATCTAGTAATAATTTTATACAAGTACTCTATACATAATGAATTGAATAGAATTCCTGTAATTGAACCGTCTAGTAACTGAAGAGGATCTTATCCTTGTTAAATTTATAGCTAAGTACTCTCTATATATTTTTTGTTAGTATAGAAAGTGTCATAAAAGTAATTATACACCGTTTTATTCTTTACTTTGTACTAGCATATATCAATAGATTTACGCGTAATATAATCCCATGTCTTGGATATGTCTTTTGTTAGTTATATTACTCATATAAAAGTGGCTTTTGAAGCATCTATATACAATTGCACATAATATTTTTTTTTTTTTTTTAACCATAGATTTCTTCTTTGTCTTTGTTAAATTACTACCTCCGTTTCATATATTTTGCAACTTAGGGGTATTATTTATTTATTTATTTATTTGTGAGACATAAAATATTCCAAATTTACAAAAAATATGAAACGGAGGTAGTAATTATTTAGCATCTGAGTACTTATTTTTTGTATTTTATTAGAGTATTTTATTCACCATGTCAGTTATTATACAGAGTACTTATTATTTTAAAATTCATAAGATAAGTATGTTTAATTAACATTTCTGACATATAGTTCCACCACAAATAATTGCCGGATATAATACTGCTTATGTTTATTACTGATCATTGGTTTCTTCAATTGGACCTAACATCTACCTAAGAACTACTTAATCAAACATGAGTCAAAATTAAAATATTTAACTATTGCCTGAAAAAACCTGCCCACTCCAAAGTGCATTCCATTTCCCACCTTAAAGGTCTAAACACTAAAGTTGATGTAGCATATAGGTTATTAAGCTCACCAAACCTCACCATACTTAAGCATAACACTTCCTCCGTTTCATATTAGTTGACGCTGTACTTTCTTTAGATATGCTTGCTAATGAATAGCTTCAAGTAATTATATCTGTAATTATGTAAGTACAATAAAAAATTATATTCCATTCGTACAAAGTAGATATTTGAAAAATAGAGATTGAGATATCAAACAAGACCTCACTCGACTTAATTTGCATAATTGGTGTGAAGAAAGCCAATCAATTTAAATTCAATTCAAGCATAACTTAATTTGAAATCATTATTAGTAATGAATGAATAAAAAGAAGTTGTCACCAGTTACATATATAATTGATGAATGAACAGGTATATGGAGAACCATGGAGTCAAGAATCAGTGGACAAGAAGTTACCCCCAACAATGCAAGGATTTGCCCAAAATGCAAACCGGATCCAAAATGGCATGGCCGAAACCGTGATGAACGGGTTCAAACCCGAATTAGTACCGGTTTACAAAGAACTTGTAACCGAATTTGCTGTATGTGATAGGTGGTTTGCTTCAATGCCAGCATCCACACAACCAAATAGGTTGTATGTGCACTCAGCAACATCACACGGTTTAATAGGAAATGACAGCAAGAAATTGAATGCAGGGATGCCTCAGAAAACCATTTTCGATTCGTTACATGATGCTGGTCATAGTTTTGGTATTTACTATCAATCTGCACCATCCACTCTGTATTACAAGTAAGCCTAATCATATTATTTTCGTTTTTTGTTCATCGTTTCTAATAGCATATAAAATATAATCTTGACAATACAATCATAAGCTTATTAGACTTTTGGTTTAATTGATTTTCTTAACTGGTATCAGAGCTAGTGTGATAAGGTCACGTGTTTAATACATGTGTAGACATAGTATGACTTTAAAAAAATGTGTACAATCGTAGATAAACTTATATACATAGAGAATTTTTGGTGCAGGAACCTTAGGAAATTGAAATACGCGACAAAGTTTCATCCTTTTGATGTGACCTTCAAGCTCCACTGCAAGGAGGGAAAGCTACCAAATTATGTGGTGATCGAGCCAAGGTATTTTGATTTACTAGCATTGCCGGGAAATGATGATCATCCATCCCATGATGTGTCAACAGGTCAAAAATTCGTCAAGGAAGTTTATGAAGCGTTGAGGTCAAGTCCTCAATGGAATGAGTTGTTGTTCATGGTTGTATACGATGAGCATGGCGGGTTTTATGATCATGTGCCTACCCCTGTTGAAGGTGTGCCTAACCCTGATGATCTTGTTGGTCCTGGTCCATATAATTTCAAGTTTGATCGCCTTGGTGTTCGTGTTCCTGCCATGTTCATCTCACCCTGGATTGAACCCGGAACAGGTACTAATACAGCTTATAATAGTGTTTAAAGTTGTTGTTAGACTTGTTACGCGTATATGACCAATTAATTTATTTTTACTGATTAAAACTTATTTTTACTGATTAAAATTTCGTAAATGGAATATGTAGTCCTGCATACTCCTTCAGGGCCGCAACCAACATCTCAGTACGAGCATTCCTCAATTCCAGCAACAATCAAGAAGTTTTTCAATTTGAAGGACTTTCTTACCAAACGAGATGCATGGGCAGGAACATTTGAAGTTGTCTTAAACAGAACAACTCCAAGAACAGACTGTCCAGGTATACTTTTGTGCAAATTAATCACTAATTAACCTAGCTAGCTTGATTTTCACGTAACAAATATTATTAAATAGAGTAATTGATAAGCATGTTTCGTGCAGTTACACTGGCTGAGCCAATGAGACTTCGAGACTTTGAGGCAAAGGAAGACAATAAACTATCAGATTTTCAAGAAGAATTGGTGCAGTTGACAGCAAGCTTAAAGGGAGACCATAAGATGAAAGACGGTCCTTTGGATGGTATGACTGTTGCTCATGCTGCTGAGTATACCAGTGAGGCCTTCAAGGTCTTCATGGCAGAGTGCGCGAAAGCTAAGAAAAATGGCGCGGCTGAGGACTCTGTGGTGGTGGTTGAAGGCACTGAAGAAGAGATAATCACTAACAAAGACAGCCTCAAACCCAAAACTTTTTTCCAAAAGTTGTTCTCTTGTGCTGATTGATGATAACATTATATGGATGGTACTTGTATTATTATTCAATAATAATCATCTATTTATGTTTTTAAATGATGTAGTAGATAAACAATTGTATAATTTATTAAACTTATTATGTTTGTAAATAGTTTGTGGAATGCATGTCCCATATCTTGGTTTGCTTTGTGATAGAATTGAAGTGACGAGTTTTTTTAATTACTTAAATAAGTTATAAACTGCTGTGAAATTGTGAATCGTTTGATAAATAAATTTCTTGGTAATTAAATACAAATTATTCTCTTAACAATGATAAATCATTTAAAAGCAAGTTTTCATCCCTTCTTCAATTGAAAGATAAAGCTGTTAACTTTAAAATAAATAAATAAAAGAAGGTAAAATTGGTATAAATCACCTTTTTTTGTCCAATTTTTTTTGAAAAAAACACATTTTATGTTTTTTTTTTTTTTTTACTATATCACCTTTTAAATACCTAATTTTTTTATTGCACCACCCTTATTTCAAGTTGAAGAAACTGATTACTGTGTGATAACTTACCCGAGAGACAAAACGTAGCTAGAGCTGTCAATTGGGGTAAAGGGGTCGGGTTTGGATCATGTAAGAGTGGGTCGGGTCAACTCGGGTCGGGTCAATTCAGATTAATTCCATAACCTATGCGGGTCAGGTTTGGGTTGGGTCACGTCGGGTCATACTTCTTATCGGGTTTGGGTCGGGTTTAGAACTGGTTAATAATAGGTCGGGTTACATTCAGGTGGGGTGAACAATATGTTGGGTTTAATTCGGGTTAAAACGGGTTAGGGTAATTCTCGGGTTCGGTTCAAGTCAATAATTTGCGGTTAAGAATCAGGTCGGGTCATTTTCAAGCCGGGTCATTCTCGGGTTCAAGTCGGGTTCGGTTCAAGTCAATAATTTGCGGGTTATAATCAGATTGGGTCATTCTCGGATTCAAGTCGGGTTAGTTCAAGTCAATATAAATTGCAGGTTACATTCAGGTCGGGTCATATCCAAGTCACGTCATATTCGGGTTCAACTAACTATAAATAGATAATTATCATTTTTATCAAGCTAATCATTTCCTTTGACTATAATATATATGGCGATATTCTAGGGAACTATAGTCTATAATTTAGGAAGATAGTTATCTCCTTTGCCATACAACAAATATATACTATATTTAATTCTTAAATTTGAGGATGACGCTCCTTTCTATTGTTGGCCAAGACAGACTTGGTCTCACAAGACCAAATGCTTTGATCACAAATTCACAATAATAAGGTGGTCTAAATTGCATTTAAGGTGATTTGAAATTGGGTCAGGAACAATTTGGGTTGAATTTAGGTCGGGTCAATAACAAGTCGTGTTAATTTCGAGTCCGGTTAGTGACAGATCGGGTTGAATTTTTGGGTTGGGTAAGTAATAGGTATGGTAAAATTCGGGTCAGGTCAATAACAAGTCGGGTTGAATTTTAGTCAAGTCAATAACAAGTCGGGTTGATTTCGGGTCGGGTTTGTAACAGGTTAGGTTAAATTCGGGTCGGGTTAAGAATGAGTCGGGTTGAATTCAGGTCAGGTTAGTTACAAGTCGGGTTAAATTCGGGTTTTGACGGGATAAAACGAGTTTGGGTAAATTTCGGTTAAAGTCGAGTTCAATGCAAGTTAATTAAATTGTCCGTTGTAAACTGGTAACACTACTAGAAAACATGCAAATAATTCGGAAACACCCTAAATTTCGTCAGAAACGGAATTTTCGTCGTAATGGGTCGTCGAAATACATGTTGTAGGAAAACCAGCTTTTCTGACGGAAATTCCAACGGAATTCAATCTGTCGGCAGGGATTTTCAGGCCAGAGAAAATCCGTCGAAAATTCCGACAGGAATGTAATCCGTCGGAATTTTTCGACGGAAATTCCATCGGAAAATTATTTAAAAAAACAAAAAAAAGCCTCCAACCACCCACACCACCAGTCCCCCCCCCATCCAGACCCAATCACAACCACACACCACCACCCCACACCACCAGTCCTCCCCATCCAGACCCAACCGCAACCACAAACCACTACCCCACACCACCAGTCCCCCCCATCCATACTCAACCACAACCACACACCACCACCGACCCTATCCCACCACCATACACCACCACTGACACCACCAAAACCAAAAATTAGCCCAAAAAACCGTAAATTAACCACAAAAAACCCTAAATTAACCCAAAAAAAAAACAAAAAATTACACGACAAAAGCAAGAAATAACACACCAAAACTCAAAACCAGTAGATCTACATATTTAATCAAATTTCATGAAATAAAACGATGATTAATAAACAAAAATTAAATCAAATATATAAATATACAATTATCTATTTAAATTTACAATCTATCATTACAATTACATATAAAATTAACTAGATCTACGAATCTATCCTAAATTAAAACAAGATCTACCAAAAAAAGACGGTGGCTTTTGGGTTTGATGTTGATGCCCAGTTGTTGGTGTTGCGCCGCTGTTGCGGTTGATGTTGGTGGTGGTTGAAGGAGCTTCATGTTGCGGTTGGTTTTGTATCGTTGTTGTTGCCGGTGTTTGATGTAGGTGAAGAGAAAAGAAACGAAGGAGAGAGAAAGGGCGGTGAAGAGAAGAAGAAAGGAAAGAGAAGGAGAGGAGAAGAGAAGAGGGGAGAACGAAGGAGAAAAGGGAAGGAGAACAGAGGAGGAAGGAGGAATGAGAAAGGGAGAACGAAGGAGGGGAGAGAGAGAAGGAGAGAGCGGAAACATAAGAGAGTGAAAGAGAGGCGGAAATAAGAAAGGGGGAAAAGGCTGCTTTAGGGTTTGGGAAATTTATTTTAATTTTTTTAATTATTTTCGACGGAAAATTCCGTCGGAAATTGTAAATTCCGACGGAAAATTCCGTCGGTATTTTCTGACGGACTATAATTCCGTCGGTATTTTCCGACGGACTATAATTCCGTCGGAAATTGTGAATTCCGACGGAATTTTCCGTCGGAAAGCATATATATTCCAACGGATATAAATTCCGTCGGAAATTTCCGACGAAAATATTGAATTCGTCGGAAATTTCCGACGGAATTTATATCCGTCGGAAATTTCACTTTTTCTGACGGAATTTCGGGTCCGTCGTAATTTTCTTGTTTTCTAGTAGTGCAAATCGGTGCAAGTTGTAAACCGGTAAATTGGCAGTTTAAAAGAAAATTGAATGGTTCCACACACCAAATTGGACTCTCGGAGGGTATTAGGGACCATGGTAAACATTTCGACAATTTTTATTTCCGGGCAAAAAAAAGTTAAAAAATTCCAAAATTGAAGACTAATATCCACGCTTTTTGAGAAATTTTAGAGGTTTCGGGGCCCGGTGTCGAAAAGTCTTGAAATTTTAGGGGATATATCTCGGGGTCATATAATACTGTTTGGAACCATATATGATCATTAATTGTTGTCATAAATGTTCGTGGTAGGCTTGAGTTAATGAAATCGTTGCAAGTTGTAAACCGATATAAATTGGTCGTTTAAAGACAAATTGGATGGTTTCACCCACCCAATGGGACTCCCGGACGGTAATAGGGACAATGGTAAACATTTCGGCAATTTTTTTATTTCCAGGTGAAAAAAAGTGACAAATTTAAAAATTGAGGACTAATATCCACGCTTTTTGAGAAATTTTGGACCATTCGGTGCCCGACATCGAAAAGTCTTGAAATTCTAGAGGATACATATCGGGGTCATATAATGTTGTTTGGAACAATATATGATCATTATTTGTTGTCATAAATGTTCGTGGTAGGCTTCAGTCAATGAAATCGGTGCAAGTTGTAAACCAGTAAATTGGTTGTTTAAAGACAAATTGGATGGTTTCACCCACCCAATTAGACTCCCAGGGGGTATAGGGACCATGGTAAACATTTCGGCAATTTTTAATTCCGGCAAAAAAATTCAAATATTTCCTAAATTGAAGGCTAATATACACACTTTTTGAGAAATTTTGAAGGTTTCGGGGCCCGGTATCGAAAAAGCTTGAGATTTTAGAGGATACATCTCGGGGGTCATATAATGCTGTTTGGAACCATTAATGATCATTATATATTGTCATAAACGTTCGTGGTAGGACTTCAGTTAATGAAATCGGTGCAAGTTGTAAACCGGTAAATTGGCCGTTTAAAGGCAAATTGGATGGTTCCACCCACCCAATTGGACTCTCGGAGGGTATTAGGTACTATGGTAAACATTTCGACAATTTTTATTTTCGAGCGAAAAAAAGTCAAAAAATTCAAAAATTGAAGGCTAATATCCACGCTTTTTGAGAAATTTTGGAGGTTTCACGACCCGGTGTCGAAAAGGCTTGAGATTTTAAGGGATACATCTCGGAGTCATACAATGTCGTTTGGAACCATATATGATCATTATATATTGTCATAAATGTTCGTGGTAGGCTTTAAGAGACTAAACGTAGCTAGGGTTGTCAATTCGGGTAAACGGGTCGGGTTTGGGTCATGTAAGAGTTGAATTTGAGTTGAATTTAGGTCGGGTCAATAACAAGTCGTGTTGATTTTGAGTCGGGTTAGTAACAGATCGGGTTGAAATTTTTGGGTCGGGTTAGTATGGTAATAGGTTTGGTAAAATTTTGGTCGGGTCAATAACAAGTCGGATTGAATTTGGGTCAGGTCAATAACAAGTCGGGTTGATTTCGGGTCGGGTTTGTAACAGGTTGGGTTAAATTCGGGTCGGGTTGAATTTAAGTCAAGTTAGTAACAAGTCGGGTTAAATTCGGGTTTTGACAGGTTAAAACGGGTTTGGGTCAATTTCGGTTCAAGTCGGGTTCGGTTCAGGCCAATAATTTACGGGTTACATTCGGGTCGGGTCATCTCCAGGTCAGCTCATGTTCGGGTTCGGGTCTCACATATTCGGGTCTAGGGTTGGTTTTAGGTCGGGTCAGGTTGGGTTTGGGTCACCATTTTTTCAGGTTTAGATTGGTCGGTTTATAATCCGGTTTGATTCGGTATTTCGGTTCGGGTCAACTTTTGATAGTTTTAAACGTAGCTGCCATTGACGCGTATAACGATCATCGAATAGCGATGGCATTTTCTCTTGCTGCTTGCGCTGATGTCCCATTACCATTAGGAGTGAGCAAACCGTACCTGACCAACATTTTAGGACCGGGACCCGGAATTGGTTGGTACCGGGTCCTAAAATTCGGAATTGGAATTGGAACCACTTCAACCGGGTCCTAAACTTTAGGTATTGGGAACCGCCGGGTACCGAGTCCTGGTTCCGGATACCCACTTATGTACATAATTATTAAATTTTAATGCCCTCATATATATATACATAATTATTAAATTTAATACAAAATTAATACTTATTTTGACCCGGAATTGGTTGGTACTGGTTTCGGGTCCAAAAAATTGGGAATTGGAACCGGTTGCAACCGGTTCCTAAATTTATTACCCGGAATTGGAACCACCGGGCCCTAACCGGTTCCGGTTCCAATTTTGGGTACCCGGAATTTTTGTTCACCCCTAACTACCATCAAGGATCCAAGGTGCACCACCAAGACCTTTCCAAACTACTTTGATATCTTGCAGAGGCTTGCCAGGCATTGAGTCACCAGGCTTTCATCACATTCTTTTTGTATAACTGCATTGTTTAAAGATATTAAATTATTATGTACTCGTATTTGATAAATCTATATCTACACCTAAAATTCTGCTTTATATAGCTCAAATCACTAGAATATATTTACTACATATAATTTTAATGATGTATAACATTGCTACATTTTTCCAAATTAAACTTATAAATCACAAACAATAGTAAAATTAGAGTTTATTGGTAGAATTAAAATCTAAAGTGTAATGTGTAACTATTATTTTTACCATCTTCATTCTCAGGTGTACGAGTGCTTGTGAGTTTTAATCTTAATTTGCCCATATTCCAAGGGTAAAATTTAATAGAACTTGTTATTGAAGTTAAGACACAGTTTTAAGAGAAGAACATTATATTGTGTACTATACAAAAATTACGGGGTACATAATAGTGTAGTAAGCTAGCCGTTACGTACATTGTGTGTATGTACACAGTTGGCAGGGCAAATTCAAGACTTTTAAGAGTAGGAATCCTAGAACATGATATATAGAATAGTAGTGACTAATGACTATAGTCATGGGCGGCCCTCGTCATTATTAATTATAGATTCACCCCTACACGTTACAATCAGTGGCGGACCTGGCCTTGTGCCTGGTGGGTCAAGTGACTCACCAGGGCCCAAAAAAAAAATCTAAGATTTAAAAAAAAAAATGGTTTCTGGGAAATGGGGTTTCATGGAGTAGATAAAGCTCAGAAGTTGCTTAAATTGAGAAGAGAGAAAATATCGGGCAAGCTCACGAGCTACTTCAATGGAAGAGAGAAATTGGAGCTGCTTCAATGGAAGAGAGAGAAAATGTCGGGAAAGGGAAACAGAATAGGAGAGAGAAAATTAGGGTAAGTGTGAGAGTTTGAAAAGACGATATGTGAGATGGAATTTGAAAGTTTGAGAGGAAGAGATTTCAGGGATGGCCATGGGAGCTAGGTGATACGAAGGAGATAGAAGATAGGTGGATTTATTTGATATATTGTTTTCTTTTTCCTTCTTTTCATATACATCATTATTATTTTATTAGAATACTGTGCTAGGTGATGCTCTAAAATTGATATACCCTGAAATGAAATGATATTAAATAGACTTGCTTATCTGCAAAAGCAAGAGTACTTCTCCTGATTTCAAAATGTGTCAGTCTCTCAATTTTTAGATTGCTTTCCAAACTATTGAGCCAATCTGAATATCGTTCATTATGCACTACTTTCTGCATTTTCCAAAACATAATCTTGTTTTTTTTTTCAAGTATTAGCATGCTTCTTTTCTTTCTTTGGCTCTTAAAAAGATGAAGCAAATATCCTTAACAGTTTGTGTATTCCTCGTGTAGTTTCAATGGCCACAGTTTGTGTTAGGGTCTTCGATTCTTGCTGTGATGTTGATATAATTGAGCTGGACTTAATTTTGTAAAGGCTTGGATTTGCATGAATTTGACCCAAATACAAATCCTAATGACTGTATTATCCAAACAGGCCCAAATGGGAATTTCAAATGAAATCCGCATATCCAAACAGGCCATAAGAAAATTCCTAGAAATTTCATTTGGGAAATAATTTCCCGTGAAATACAATTTCTTATGGAAAATTATTTCCCTTATCAACCAAACGAGTTATTACTTCATACTGTTGTTTTGTGTCCTCTTGTTGCCTTCGATTCTAGTCCTGCTTGCTTAATGCTTATCAACAACACTTCTGTTTTGTGTCCTCTTGTTGAAGATCATATGCATTTTGCCCTATTTCTTACATTGTTGTTGTTTTTGCGAGTGTTTCGACCTAAGTTTCGTATATTTAGTTGGTTGCATATACTTAATATTTAGTTCTTAATGTTATTTAGCTTCTGAGAAAGAGGGTACAAGAACAGAGGATATATGGTTTCTGGGTTTTTGAATGTATTTTTTAGTACTATTATTTTGTTGTTTGGTAAAAAAATTTTTTACATATTTGGTTATCGATTGTGACTCACCAGTCGGAAATTCCTGGGTCCGCCACTGGTTACAATAGTTACTTCGTATATGGTATATGTCATTAATTTACTCGCATATTCTATGTGATGGCATACATGATACATTATACAATACGATGTATCATGCGTGAGTGTTAATACTTGTATAAGATGTCGAATATTCCAGATAAGTTGAATTTTTTTTAGGTATATACTTCATTGCTTCATAGTATAATATAATGCATTAAAACAATCATTTAGATTAAGATAGACTATATTGTTCTTAAAATAATTGTTCTCTCTCTCTCTCTCTCTCTCTTTTTTTTTTTTTTTTTTTTTTTACATATAAAAATATGTTTTATGATATAATATACTCCGTACCATATTATTGTTGGATTAGTAAAAATATATATTCTAAAGATCATTTTTTTTAGAAGAAGCATATTATTTTTTTTTTTTTTTTTCAATTTTTACATTCATAAATCAATAGTTGATACCCATACATATGTAAATAATATGCGGTTAGTATATGTTTAAAAGTCAAGCTGTTGCAGTAAGGTGTACCATTTTAAGTCGAGCCACATTTATAAGGTTGCAACCCCATACCCTTGTCATACTTTATCAACACTAAAATATACGTCAATGTAACATAATAAGAAAATAAGCGCATAGAGAGCTAGCAATGCTTGGGCATTTGGCAACGTATAACTGAACAAGGAAGATAAGCTAAGCTCAGCTAACTAGCTAAGACATCACAAACAATTCCCCGCACCCACAACTAACTAACTTGATTGCTTATATTCTTTTACATATATTAACATATATACGCTACTCAGCTTCATTAGAAACACAACTTGAAATTTAGCCTTTGCTAATTAAGAGATAGAGAGAAAATGGAAGGCGAATTAGCGATGTTTGAAGGTGAAAATGAGAGTAAAGGATATCCAATTAAGACAATTGTGGTGTTGGTTCAAGAGAATAGATCATTTGATCATATGCTTGGTTGGATGAAGCTACTCAACCCTCATATTGACGGGGTCACGGGTCATGAGTCCGTTCCTTTGAATACTTCGGATCCGAATTCCGCCCGTATCAAATTTGGTGATGGCTCCGTTTATGTCGATCCTGACCCGGGTCACTCCATCCAAGACATCTATGAACAGGTATGTATCATGTATGGGGTGAATTATTATTGGTTATGACTATATTGTTTGTGTAGCTAGGTGTTTGGTTTGATCGTTATAGCTTTTTGATTAAGTGTGAAAAAAGAAAGTTTAAGGGGATATGTCATGCCATTTTTGGTATTAAAGTTGTACATGTGTTGATTTAGATGAAAATATTGTTTAATTTGTTGTCTGTTGAAATGAGAGAAGCTAAAAGAAAAGAAAATTAAGATGCATAACACATAATTATAATGTCATGTATGTTTGACTTTACACAAATTGGAAATATGTCTAAGCTGAGGAGTTATAATCATGTAATGTTAGATTTAACCAAATTTAAATTACCCGTCAATGCACTTGTTATATAAGCATCATTGTACACCTTTTACATATGACCTGCACGAACATTAACATGTACGTTGCACACAAGAGATATCTTATGTAATTTTGGGTCTAGACAAATTCAAAGTCTTTACGCTGTTAATGGTTGAACTTCTTCTCTGAAGGGTCCCACTATGCACCTTGTAAGATTAACAATTTTACAATTTGTTTTTTTTCTACCTCGTAGTGGACTAGTGGCGTAGTAATTTAAAGTAGTTTTGATGATTAAGACTATAGGTTTATTAGGGCTTATGGTAGTTAGTTGGCCTAACTACTTTATGAAATGTTCCTTTAAATAAGAATTGCAAAAAAAAAAAAAACTTCCAACTCTGTTAGCCAATCATGATCATAGATTCATAGAGTAGGACAGTAGGTGATGTGACTTCAAAGTAAGTGAAACAGATCAACAGAAGTTGATATATTGTTAAGGTTAATCTAGGGTTGTCTACTTTTATTCAGAAATTTCGGAAAGGTTAACGAAAAAAAATTGAATTGATGAATTTTAAAACCAACAATCCTGTTTATGGAAAAATTACGAATCTTTTTCTATGACAATTGGCTATTCAATGCGCCATTTTATTTAACTTTTTTTTTATTATTAAAATATAACTAATACATGGTCTGATCATCTAATATGTACATAGATAGTAGTATAATATTTTACTATTAATAAACTCTAGGTTCATTGATAGTATAGAACGGCTTTTTTGACTATTTTAGAAAACCAATGTTTAGATTTTTGGAGAGCCATGGAGCCAAGAATCAGCACAAAAGAAGGAACCCCCAAAAATGCAAGGATTTGCACAGAATGCAAATCGGATCAAACCCGGAATGGATGAAGCCGTGATGAATGGGTTCAAACCCGAACTTTTACCAGTTTACAAGGAGCTGGTAAGCCAATTCGCGGTTTGTGATAGGTGGTTCGCTTCAATCCCTGCCTCCACACAACCAAATAGGCAGTACATCCACTCAGCCACATCTCATGGCTTAACAAGCAATGATAGCAAAAAGCTCAAGGCAGGAATGCCTCAAAAGACCATATTTGATTCTTTACACGAGGCTGGTCATAGTTTCGGTATTTATTATCAACTCCCTCCGGCCACTCTTTACTACAGGTAAGTAGGTAACCATAACTAATTAACTATTACGAGTAACACACATAGAAAATACATTTAACTGTTTAGGAATAACACATAATCAATTATAACAGACACAAAAAATCTTTAACCTTAAACGTCCTTTAACGTGACAAGACTGACAACTTATTATTGGTCGAGACCATGGACTAACAACATACTTGTACATATTTATGTGTGATTCAGGAACCTAAGAAAATTGAAGTACATACCAAAATTTCACCAATTCGATATCACATTCAAGAGACATTGCAAGGAAGGAAAGCTACCAAACTATGTGGTAATAGAACAAAGATACTTAGACTTAAAATTATTGCCAGGGAACGATGATCATCCATCCCATGACGTCTCAATAGGTCAAAAATTCGTCAAAGAAGTTTATGAAGCATTAAGATCTAGTCCTCAATGGAATGAAATGTTGTTCATAATAACATATGATGAGCATGGTGGTTTCTTTGACCATGTTCCCACCCCTGTAGAAGGTGTTCCGAGCCCTGATGATATCGACGGTCCAGCTCCGTATAATTTTAAGTTTGATCGTCTTGGTGTTCGGGTTCCTACCATTTTCATATCCCCTTGGATCCAACCCGGAACAGGTACGTACTACTAGTCCACTATTTTTTTGGAAATTGTACCGTGTACCCTTGAGATTTTGAAAAATGCACCGTGTATCCTTGAAAATTTTCAAATGCACCATTTACCTTTGAGGTTTGCATAAAAATGAACCACATACCCTGATCGTCTTACAAATGCACATATCATTGACTTATTAATTATAATTATGCCCACACACTGACTCATTTTTAGTAGTTTAGTTTATATTTATAGAGTAAAACTGCCTAAAAACATAAATTACATCAAAATTTGAACTTTATCGATCATTCTAAAACCTAAACTTAAAAGTTTTAGAATTTGATCTGATTTATCAATTAAGTTTACTTGATAATTAAATGGTTTAGCATAATACTAATATTACACTGTAACAATTTAATAAAATTTGATGCTTATAGCCTATATTGGGTCTCAATTTAACAAAGTTATCATTTATTATACGAGTCTAGGGGTATTTGGTGCAAGTTCTTACAAACTTCAGGGGTACATTGTGCTGTTGTGCATTTGAAATTTTTCAAGGGTACATGGTGCATTTTTTAAAACCTTGAGAGTACAATTTTCCTTTTTTTTTTATCCTTTTGCCAGATGTGTTATGTTTTTTTCTTTGTGAAAAGGGTTTCCTAATATAATATTCCATATTGTTTTTATGATTCTTGTTAAGTTAATACAAAACTTATGTGAAAATGGGAAATTAAATGCAGTGATACATGCTCCTAAAGGACCACAACCAACATCCCAATTTGAGCACTCCTCAATTCCAGCAACAGTTAAGAAGATTTTCAACTTGAAAGACTTCCTTACAAAACGCGATGCATGGGCTGGAACTTTCGAAGTTGTCTTAAACCGAACCACCCCTAGATCTGACTGCCCAGGTACTAATTACTTTCGTAGTTAGTGCTAATGTGGTGCAACCGTTGTATAGAGTACCTTCTGAGGCTACATGTATGAACTAATTCCTCGACGTGCTTATTGCAGTTACAATGCCTGAGCCGGTGAGACTAAGAGACTTCGAGGCAAGAGAACAGAAGAAGTTATCAGACTTTCAAGGAGAAATGGTACAACTAGCAGCGTGCTTAAAAGGAGACCATAAAAAAGACACTTATCCAAACAAATTAGTTGAGGAAATGAATGTTGCTCATGCTGCTGACTATTGCAACGAAGCCTTGAAGGTTTTTTTACAAGAATGTGAGAAAGCAAGGCTTGATGGAGTCGATGATGACACGGTCATTGACATCGGAGACAATGAAGAACAAGGCATACATATTAAGGAGAAGGATGAAAATTCGCTTGTTCATAAGGTTTTTTCATGCTTGGCTTGCAACAACAATTAAAGGAAATCTTCATGTGATAATGTTTTACTAATTTGGGTGTTTTTTTATTTGAGTGTTTCCTAACAACTTTTACACCGCATATAATGTTAGCATTATGAGTTTTTATTTTAATCAAACAATATAAACACATATGCCGAAGATCTTATGAGAGTAAAGTTGCGTGCATCTATCCATTCATTTTCTTTTATCCAACGTGACGGGTTTTGGAGGCAAACAAGATAAATTTGATGTTGAAATTTATTTAAAAAAAAATAAAAAAAATTAAGTATAATTAATTTCCCTCACCACGGTTTACTCCTTTTGTCAATTACTTGTTCTCTAGGTGATTTTAGTAATAAGAATGTGGTATTGTGGTTAACTACACTCCAACTTACACAATAAAATTAGACTTCTATGAAAATCAAAAAACGTGAGAAAATGCAACTAAATTATGTAAAATGCTACTACTAAATTGTTTTTGTGAATATAGCCACTAATAGAACAATTGATGTTACCAACTTACCTCTTAAAATGATCCAAGTGTTAGAAATGATAATGACTAAAATGAAGAGTATCCTTCCACACTTTCTTGCCTAATTAGTGTATTTAATCATTGCACGCTAAATCTAAGGAATATGCTAGAGGAACATACAACTATACAAGTATATTTTCTAGGTGTTACTTGAGCCTTTCTTTGAATTTTATGCCTATTATTATTATTATTATTATTATTGTCAAATAATATAAACTCCTTCATCAGAGTGATTTCCATTGATCAATATTTATAGGGTTACAATGAGAAACCTAATCATATTAGGTAACATAAGATATGTATAGATATCAAAGATAATCTTATACAAAATATATCCTAAACCTAAGATGAGAGATATTCTCTATCACACCCCCGCAGTCGGAGCGGGAGAAAATCGGATGCTCAGACTGGATCTGAATCACGCATCGAGCGGTAAGGATAGTATGGTAACCCATGATCAAAAGGGAAGTAGTAGACATGTGCCGGTGATGACGTTGAGAAGCAACGACCACGACCTACCTAGAGTAAAGATAAGCACTGCTAGGCCGGAGGAGAAGGAGAAGAGCCGCACATAGACTTGGGCTAAGTTGCAGATCCAGAGAAGAAAAAGCTAAGGGATCAAACCACCATCAGGGAGAAGAAGACACTACACTACTATGTGAAATCACAATTGAAGAAAAACAAATAAAATTGCGCAAGAAAAAAAGATTAAATTCCACCGCTCGAAATTAATCAATTCTCAAAAGAGAAATCTAGGTAGCAAGAATCAATACTCCACATCCAAGTGCTGCAACAATAAGAGGAGCCAACTTGATAGCAAAAGAGATGTGCAAAAGTTGACCTTATTCTGGTATACCACCACCAAAAACAAAATCTATGTGATTATGTGTAGAAAAACCAATGGGGCAATGTAAGAATCATTGTTGGTCATGAGGAGGTGGAAATAGAGTGCGGCACATGGAGTAGGTTGGCAAATATTGGTACTGCCAGTAGTGGGAGGCGGTAGTGTATGCGATTGCCACCAATAATGATGGAGGCGGCTTTCGCGGTTGCTACTGTTGGTGGGAGGCGCAAGCTAAGGTTACATAAAGATTCTAAAAAAAACTTTGAAAAAAGAAAAAAATATCTACATGTGTGTTTGCGGAAGCATAAAAAACTTTGTATATCCCGCCGGTGGGTTTAATTTTCTAACCCACCGGCAGGGTGAGAATTTTTGTATATGATCCCAAGATCTCCTAAGCTGTGATACCATATCAGAAAATATAAACTCCTTGATCAAAGTGATTTCCATTGATCAATATTTATAGGGTTACAATGAAAAACCTAATCATATTAGGTAACATAAAATATGTATAGATATCAAAGATAATCTTATACAAAATATATCCTAAAACCTAAGATGAGAATATTCTATGGATATTCTCGATCATACAATGGTTAAATCATGTTAACGGCCTTTTAATATTGAAAGATAATGGAATTTTTTTTAAAATTTGAGTATTATCTAATCAGTTATGCCAATTTAGTTATCAAGCTACGCTAAAAGTTAATTCCTCGAGAGACATAAAAGTTTAAATCTCACGATATATATTGTACGTAGTAGGATCTGTTCTGTTTACCTTATTTTCACTATTTAAGTTCAATAAACTTAGATAAGTTTAGTTTAGAAAAAATAAGTTTGATTAGGATTACTCAAGTATAAATTATTACTAAAAATAAGTCCTAATAAGTTAAATACGTAAAAATCAGGTGAATAGAACACACCTTAATTAAGTTCAAGACCGGTTGACAATAGCTAATCACTCCTCGAGTGATCGTATGAAAGGTTGTCCAACTTAAACGTTTTGCACAAGTTAGGCTGTCCATTCTCACAATCGTCGATTAACAACCAACTAAAGCCTCAAAACATGCATCTCTCTTTTCCGTTATGCAGCTGAAAACTTTGTAGCATATGGATCCCATATTATAGTTGTCTTTGCCTACGAAATGCAGTTTAGGCGGGTGCAACAAGATTGTTTATTTTTTACAAACTACAACAGAATTCAACCAAAAAAGAAACAATAATATTGGAGTATTCATGTATATTATTGTTATTTATTAATGTACCATACTATATACTCCATATTGTTATGTATATTTTGGTACGCAAGCTAACAATTTTCAGAAAATATATAATTGTACAAATTTACAAATACACTCAATTAATTACGTCAAGTCCCATAAGAAATCAAATTTAAGCACGTACCTTCATTAACAAGCTAAGCTAAGCTAGACAATCAGCCAATCACTCCTCTTTATAAACTCTTCCGTTTTTTTCTTTTCTTTTCCTTGACACATTAACAACATTACTCATAGAAAAGGAGCAAAAAAAAGAGTGATTCGAATTTGTTAGAGTTACTTTTAAGGTATGGGTAGTGATCAAAATAGCGGCGGGAGTAGTATGTATCCGATTAAGACCGTGGTGGTGTTGGTGCAAGAGAATAGGTCATTTGACCACATGCTCGGGTGGATGAAGGGGATCAACCCTGAAATAAACGGTGTCACGGGTCAGGAGTCGAACCCCTTGGACACATCGGATCCTAACTCTAAAAGGTTCGAGTTTGGGGATGGGTCTGTGTACGTCGACCCTGACCCTGGTCACTCCATCCAAGACATTTACGAACAGGTAAACTTCATTGGTCACTACTCACAACAAAAAAAACTAGCATGTTTTAATTTTAGGCTAGAAATCTCCAAGATGAGGTCTAAAAGACTTGAACCTAATCAATATTTTTACAAGCCAAAATAAAGTGAAGTTGCTGTTATTAAAAGAATTATGTAATGAGCAGGTATTTGGTGAGCAGTGGAGCAAAGAATCAGCAGAGAAGAGGAAGGCCCCAACAATGCAAGGATTTGCACAGAATGCAAACAGGCTCCAGAGTGGGATGGAGGATGCCGTGATGAACGGATTCAAGCCGGATCGTGTACCTGTTTACAAGGAGTTAGTGACACAGTTTGCAGTTTGTGATAGGTGGTTTGCATCAGTCCCTGCATCCACACAGCCGAATAGGCTGTACGTGCACTCAGCAACCTCACACGGTTTAACAAGTAATGATACAGGGAAGCTCATTGCAGGGTTGCCTCAGAAGACCATATTCGAGTCCCTAGATGAGGCTGGTCTCTCTTTCGGTATCTACTTTCAGTACCCTCCTTCCACCTTGTTCTACAGGTATATAGCCATCAGAAAATCAGAATTTAAGCAAATCTTTTGTCACATTAGTATAAACATTTCTTCTCTGTTATTGGCAGGAATCTTAGGAGGCTGAAATATGTGCCACATTTTCACCAATTTGATCTAGAATTCAAGAAGCATTGCAAGGAAGGGAAGCTACCAAATTATGTGGTGATTGAACAAAGATATTTTGACTTGCTAGCAGTGCCAGGAAATGATGATCATCCCTCTCATGATGTTTCAGTGGGTCAAAAATTCATCAAGGAAGTTTATGAAGCATTGAGATCGAGTCCTCAGTGGAACGAAATGTTGTTTATTATCACATATGACGAGCATGGTGGCTTCTATGATCATGTTCCCACCCCTGTGGAAGGGGTTCCTAGCCCTGATGGCATTGTTGGTCCTCAACCATATAGCTTTGGATTTGATCGTCTCGGTGTTAGGGTTCCAACTATCATGATCTCTCCCTGGATTGAACCTGGAACAGGTACCTATCAATATTTTGAATGTTTTTTTTTTTTTTTTTTGCTCTGTTCATCGATATTGTTGACTAATGTAAGTTGGGAAATGCAGTGTTACATGGACCTTCAGGGCCACATCCTACATCAGAATATGAACATTCTTCAATTCCTGCAACTGTCAAGAAGATCTTCAACCTGAAAGAGTTTTTAACTAAACGCGATGCATGGGCTGGCACTTTTGAAGGTGTAGTTAGCAGAAAAACTCCAAGAACTGATTGCCCAGGTAAATTATTCTGAAAAAAACAACCGTAAAAGTTGATATATGTTTAATTATTGAACACCCACAAGTAAACAAATTCGGAAAAGTTCAGGTACACCCAGAAAATAACAGGTGAAGAGAATCAAGCTTAACTATTAGAAAGGATTACTCCTAAGAAAATGTGCTAAATCATCAAAGTTTTAGTAAGAAAAAAAAATCATTGAATTTCTTAGACCATTTTGGATAAATGCAGAGACTTTGCCGGAGCCAGTTAAATTGAGAGCAACTTCAGCGTTGGAAGACAAGCAATTGTCTGATTTCCAAGCAGAGTTGGTGCAAATGGCAGCTTGCTTAAAAGGCGATCACAAGAAAGACACCTACCCAGATGCTTTAGTTGAGAATATGACAGTTAAAGAAGCAGCTGAATATGTGCAAGAAGCATGGGAGATTTTCTTGCACGAGTGTGATGAAGCCAGGAAGCGAGGAGCAGATGAATCCACGATCATTGATGTGGGTTCATCTCAGAACACTCGCAGATCACTGAAAAGCAAGTTACTGTCTTGCTTAGCTTGTAACAACTAAACTTTTCTAGCCTCAGAATTCTTTTCTACTACATGCCAGATGAATTTGGAGGACAATACTGGAGAATCAGTGAATTGAAATTCTTTGCTATGTAAAATTACTTCTATTTATACTTTCCCGAGTATTAATAGTTCATTATGATGAAGATTTCCCTTGTAACTGTATAGTACTCAGGCATTTTACAGCTAAGCAATCTTCATACTAGAAGCATTTTATAAGAACTCAATTAACAATACCAAACATTCAATCATCAAATACAAATGTTATAAGCACAACTGATTAGAGTGATCAAGCATGGCCTAGTCTGATTCAATCAGGGTCAAACCTAATTGGCACAATTTATGGGTGATCATGGGCTATAGGCCCGTCTGAAAGCACCTTCAAAATTAGCCCAATCGATTGGCCCAATTAACCAACATGGGTTAAAATTTCAGCCCAAAGTGTGGCCCGTACGGACACATCCGACCAAATCGAGTCAACTTTATAGGCCCAGGTATAGAGCATGATGAGATCCATAACAGACGCATTCATTTACGCAGCATGTGTGTGCATAGACAGCGAAAGCAAAAGATCAAGACATTAAAAGAGGAAACAGAGTTGTATTGAAAAAGACAGAAACAGAAACTGCTTTTTCATTACTATAATAATGCATTCATTAGACAAATCAAAGAATTTTTTATTGGCCAGTCAAAAGAAAATGATTATAGTTACTTCAACAGAGATTCCTGAATCAAGTATGAAACAGCTGTGGTTACAAGTTACAACCTCCTTCCTCCATCCAATCTCCAGAAAAGTAAAAGACAATGAAAAAAAAGTGTTGAATAACTAAAATAAGGGGACAAAAAATAAATGTGAAATTGCCAACAAGAGATATGAACTATGACAAGGAAGTATCCCACCGACAATGGGTTGAAACTTGGGATATTTAAGATGCCCCACTAAAGAACAAAAAAAATTGGACATTTTTTTAACAAAATCAATAACTTAATTGCCAACCTTTAAAGTAAACTATGATTTGATCTGTTCTGTATACTAAATCACAATAGATTAATTTTAAACTTTGAGAATCAGATAGTACCATAAACTCGATCATGGTTGTTGCTGAGCATCCATGTAACCGGCATCAACAAGCACCTTTTCCCTCTTAGCTGTTTCTACGTCCTCATCAACCATCATTTTCACTAGTTGCTGGAACCCAACCTTAGGCTTCCAACCGAGGACTTTCTTTGCCTTGCTGGCATCACCCTTCAGATTGTCGACCTCAGATGGCCTGAAGTACCTCTTGTCAATCACCACGTGATCCCGCCAGTTCAATCCTACATACCCAAATGCAGCTTCCAAGAACTCCTCAACACTGTGAGATTCCTCGGTAGCCACCACATAGTCATCGGGCTTTTCCTGTTGAAGCATCATCCACATTGCTTCAACATAGTCTCCTGCAAATCCCCAATCCCTTGAGGCTTGCAAATTACCCAGGAAAAGCTTGCTCTGAAGCCCAATCTTGATCCTGCCAACAGCACGTGTGATCTTACGAGTCACAAAGTTCTCTCCCCTTCTTGGTGATTCATGGTTGAATAAAATGCCGTTGCAAGCAAAAATACCTATGAAACGAAACAAGTAAAAAGGTTATTCACCATTACTAGAACTGCCACAATGAAGAGTAGCTACAAGCACTTCAATAGTGCAAGGAGTATCAAATTGAAACAGTCGGCCCATCACCAAGGTCCTCTAAATAGAATACAAGTAATAATTTTCAAGTATACTAACTATAATTTGAAAAACCAGGATTATATGCTCAAGAAAGCAAAAATGATGCGTCTTACATATTTCTTGTACACCAAACAGGCAAACACTCAATAATATATCAAATTGATCTTTTCTCTTTCATGCTCCCAGAATTGGAGATCAATTATATGAATTCAGATCAATGATTGATTCTCGAGGAATCTGTAGGATCCATTGATCAAATGGAACGAGAACCAAATCTTGCTTAAATGCACAAAACACGTTTCCATTTCCCACATTTTAATATAATAAACCATGAAGCATGTATATAAAGTCCTAATCATGTTTATAAAGTTCTAATCATGATCTTACAATTTTTAAAGTTCTCTCCCCTTCGTGGTGATTCATGATTTAATAAAATGTTGTTGCAAGCAAAAATACCTATGAAAGGAACAAGTAAAAAGGTTCATTCACCATTACTAAGAGCTGCCACTATGAAGAGTAGCCATGTGCACTTCAATAGTACAAGGAGCGTCGTATAGAAAGTCAACCCATCACCTAGGTCATCTTAATAGAATTCAAGTAATAATTTTCAAACAAATATACAACCTATGATTTGAATAGGACTATTAGCCCGAGAACTAGAGAAGACAAATATGATGCATCTTACACATTCTCGTAGACCAAACACTCGATAATATATTAAATTGATCTTCTTTTTCTATCATACTCCAAGAATTGGAGATCAATTACATGAATTCAGATCAATGATAGACCCTCATGGAATCTAAAGGATCCGTTGACTAAAAGGAACAAAAAAAACCAGATCTTGCTCAAATGTACAAAAAACATTTTCATTTCCACATTTTAAATATTAAATCATGAAGCATGTTTATAAAGTTCAAATCATAAATCAGTAGCAAAAAGTAAAAAAATAACCCTTTACATCACAGAAACAATGCAGTTGAGAGTTCAATCATCAAAAGCAAAGAATTTGAGTAAACTATCCACTCATATCCAAGTATCAAAACACAAACAATAATGCCTCAACACAGATAAAATACCGAGAAACCACATTGATCCTCAATTCCTTCTACTAAATCAATTTATCGTTATTACTGCCCAAGACCTCGGATCAAATCTTGTTTACACCATTGTCTTTGATGGAAGCTAATGCCTTAACCCAAATAGTAGCTACTATCTAGAATTAAATTGACCCCAATTCCTCCCACCATTTCTATTGACCAACACTACACAAGACATCGAATCAAATCTTGTCACCTACATTGTCTTTTATAGCTCTCTAAACAGCACAAAAACTAAAGCCTCAACCCAAACAGCACCTAGAACCCAAATTGAACCCCAATTCCTCCCACCATTTCCATTGACCATTACAACACAAGACTTCGGATCAAATCTCGTCTACAACATTGCCTTCTATACCTCTCCACAGACTAAAAAATAACATTTCCATTTCTCTAAAACTCACTTTCTTCTAAAATGCAATTAATTTCTCAATCAATCAAACAAAATGCCATTAATTTCTCAATCAAACAAACAATCAAACAAAATGCCATTAATTTCTCAATCAATCAAACAATCAAAAAGCTCATCAATTCAATAAACCCAGAAAAACCCACAATCAAAATTCCAAAATTCATCAAAAAAATTAAAAAATTACCATAAGCTTCACGGTAATTGACAGTGTACCAATGAGCAGCACACTTAGCAACAGCATAAGGAGACCTGGGATGAAACGGGGTATCCTCCGCCTGAGGCGGCGGCGTAGATCCGAACATCTCCGACGACCCGGCTTGATAATACTTGATATGGGTCCGACCCGTTTCAGCAATATGAGATCTAACAGCTTCAAGCAATCGAAGCGTACCAGTAGCAACAACATCAGCAGTATAATCAGGGATCTCAAAAGAAACAGCAACATGAGATTGAGCAGCAAGATTGTAAACTTCATCAGGTGCAATTGTATCGATCCAACGACGAAGAGAAGAGGCGTCGGTGAGATCGGCGTAGTGCAATTTCATCCTAGCTTTGTTGGCATTGTGTGGGTCGATGTAGATGTGATTGATTCTTTGGGTGTTGAAGTTTGAAGATCGTCGGATTAATCCGTGGATTTCGTACCCTTTTGAGAGGAGGAATTCGGTGAGGTAAGATCCGTCTTGGCCGGTGATTCCGGTGATTAGGGCGACTTTGATTTTGGGTTCGGAGTTTTGGGGGGTTTCAGTGGGTTCCGCCATTGTTGGAGCTTGTTGAAGGTGATGGAAAGGGCGGGGTAAGGGAGGAGATAGAGAGAGAGAGAGAGAGTGAATGACGAGTTTTGAGGGGAAATGATGGGGGGATTTAAGAGGGAAGAAAGGTGAGGGGGTTAGTGGGGAAATGAGTTTGGGAGGGAAATAGAGGGGAAGATGTGTTACAAGATGGTGTCCCACTAAGGCTAGGTAGATCCACCGTCGTCGTCGGGGGATCGAGACATGGTATCTTTATTTTTTTTTAAGTCGGTTTGAATTGAATCGGGTCAATCTATTGTTGAATTATTTTATTACAAAGAAAAATCTAATCTAATTTATATATATATATAAAGGAGAGTTTTTTCACGAGTTTTACTGAGTTTTGAGTAGTAATATAAAATTGAATCACAAAAAGAAAAAGTTTTAAAGGTCGAATAATGAGAAATAAAATGAGATGATTCAACAATTATTAGTTGTCTTTGTAATAGAAAAGTTTTTTTTTTTTTTTGAATTTTTTTTGTACAAATCCCAGTTCAATAATGGTTCTAGAACACCAATAAGGATTTATTAAACTTGATTTTGTAGGTAACACCATTCCACATAATTAATGAAATAGTCTAGTCAACTACTCCCTCCGCCCTTTAAAGATTGATTGATTTATGAGTATGTCTTTAAAAAAGAAGCTTAAGTATCATGCTTAATTTATCATGCTATCAGTGTCGCTTTTTATGAATTGAATAATTAGATTTTGGCAGAATTCTTCAATAAAGTTGGGGGATAAAAGGCAAGGTTCCTTGTTACCAAGAAAGTGAATCTGCTCAAATAATGGCTTAAGAGAATCGTATTCAAAGTGGGTCTATCCGTCTATAAATGCTCTAGAAACCCGCTAAATCCCCACAATTGTTCTTCTCCAAGCTGTTTATTGCCATGTGGAAAAGGCGCCTAAGGTTATTCCATAGGTTGTGCCAATCAGGATCAACGAGATGAAGCCAACTAGCCAAGTATGATTTTACAAACGACCATAAAGGAACAAACATGGGCACCTAAGTTAATGATGATGGAAAAGCAAAAGAAAAGGAAAAACAAAATTCTTCACTTGGCTTAAGCTATATTTTATGAGATAAGGCAAATCAAAGGTTTAAATGGTACATAAAACTGAACAGATTAACATCTAGCCGATTTGATATATCCCAGGTTTGCAACTAATCCAAATAACCATCTCACGCGCCCGACAATTGTAAACGCAAATCTTCTATTGGCACGCAATTAAAAAAAAGGAGTATGCCGAACGATGAGAATCGACACAACCCACTTAAACTCAGGAAAGGCCTTCATCATCCTCGTTTTCAAACTCGTCCATGTGGTCTAGGAGATAGTTAGCAGCCAGCTCCTCATTCTTGTTGCAAGCAAAGTAGACTTGTAGGACGGTGGCCCGTCTAAAGCCCATACCTTCAAGCTGCAACACCCAAAAAAATCATAAAAATAGGCAGAGTCAGAGCATTGAATACTACTTAAATCATTGGAAACTATAAACCCTGGCCTATGTAAACTACCTTCTGATTAGTAAACAGAAACCAGTGAAAGAATAAATTGTTCACTTTTCATCACATCCCATTACACAGTAAAAAATTCTTCAGCAACAAAGAGAGGAGAGAGAGGACGAGGAAAGGTGGGGAAAATGAAATCTGCATGTGGTTTGAATGAGGCATATGTGTCTTGCGATGACAAGTTACAACCCAAAACAATAGACGAATAATAAGAAGTTCAATAAACAGAGTACAGCAATAGTCACAAACCAAAAATGATCCACTTTCCATGATTCAGTTTCTAAAAAAGCCATGTACCACAATATCCAAATTTTTTCCTAAAGGTCATAACAGATGGTGCACATAGATTATTTATAATATCATACTTTCTATTTACATAGGACACACAAACTTGTTACTTCTACAAACATCATAAAAAAGGTTAGGCAATTAAAGTTTACCAGCTTTCTGATCACCATAAGTTGGTTTACATGAGATGTAAAATGATATAACAAGCAGGTAGTAGCAACTAGCAAGTGAGCTTTTAAATTTTTTCTATCTTTTAACTGCTTAATCCATATGAGCCCCAATATTATTCAGAACACTTGTGCCAAAAATTTAAGACCCATCCTAAATTTCACTGACACATAAAATGAAGCATAAACCTCTTCAGTTCTATTTATGACATATTTTCACAATGTAAAAACATAATAATAGAAGGGGGAAAAAAAAAAAACATACGCGTTCAATGGCTTCACGTTCCTCTGGTGTCACAGACACAGTCGGTGGCATTGAAGAGGCTAACTGCGAAAGAAGGTTTCTGCTCCAAACATATAAAAATAGTCAGAATCTATTAGATCTTCGGAATGGAAAAAATAGTGAAGATCTATAAATACCCTTCCCCTCCTTCAACAGGTTCGTTAATCAGGCGAAGAAAATCAGACTGGTGTTCTTGAATTAGCCGCATCAGTTGTGGATTCTGCTTCCCCAGTTCTTGAAGCATGGGCTGGACATGGTCGAAAAAACATATAAAACCTTACACAATAAATTCATATTTTTTAAAAATACATTACAAACTGAATACTAGAGCTCACCTGCAATATCTGGGGATTGGCTTGCACCATAGCTCGCAACGCTTGAAACTAAATCGAAGACATAATGATTCAGGATCAAGGAATTACACAATTCAGCAAATATACTAACATATATTGACTATTACCTGCTGACTATTACGGAGAAAATCCAATGAGCCAGCGCCAGCATTTGAACCCACACTGGGAACACCCTAGGTGAAAAACAATAACAAATGATGATAATAGAGGATAATTATAGACCAGAAATTATAGTACTATTTAAAAACTAACACATATGATAACCCATTGGCATACCTGTGGAAAGAGATCCAATGGACTTGCATTAGGGCCACCACTTGCTGGTACAGCTGCCTGAGGAGCCTGACCAAGAGGGTTCTGAGCAAGAGGATTACCAGCCGGAGCAAGAGGATTTGCAGCCTGCGCACCAGTAGTAGCTGCAGGAGTTCTGGCCACTGGAGCAACTTCAGCTTGCTCAGGAATTCCCTAAAAATGACAGACCAAGATTTTATATCAGCATGAATCAAGGAGAGAAAATAGTAACCATTAACATGACAGTAAATCATGCTGCATCAATTGGGGAAAACAGCTTTCCTGTAGATATATAAAGAATAAATCAAAAAGAAAATTCCCAGCTGCATTATAAGAATCATATCAGAGTACAATTCATGGCACAATGCCGAAGCAGAAGATTCTTTATCAAAAGAACCAAATAAGAGGCACTACAGAAGTCAAATGAAGCAACAGTGGATTGGCAAACATAATCCTGAACCATAAGATCTTTGCAAGAATTTTAGAATGAAGAAAGCACACTGTATGCTCGTTTATGAATTAAAGTGGGGGAGAGAAAACATCAAACAAGAATCAGTAGTATATAGACATACAGAGTACAAATATTCGACAGCCCTCTCCGGGTTGTTATAAGCAGCGCGTAGAGCACGAACAACAGTATCCCTGTCCCAACTTCCTCCACCCATATCAAGAATTTGCTGAATGGTGCTCTCCAAATTGCTTCCTGCAACTAAATTAGACGCAGCCTGGCCATAGACATTTGCATCCCCTCTGCATACAAGTAGATAAGTTAGTGTTTATAAATAAGTTCCACAACTTAGTTATTTTGATGGAAAACACTGCTGAGAAGGTCTAAGAAAGGGTTAAAACTCACGAAGCAGCAGCTGCAGCAGTCACGGCAGCTGCAGCAGCAACAGCAGAAGCAGCAGGCTCTGTAGCTGTCTGGGTCCTAAGATAACAGCATAACATTTGTAAGCACAGTAACAAAGAAAATATCATACAAGCCTAGCAACTTCCGGTATTTAATTTTAAAAAAAAGGTACACCAAAGCCTGGAACTTAAAAGGAAAATACTTCAGGAACTTACTGAGCTTGAGGTGCAACCGGTGCAGGCACAGCAGCTGCAGGTGTAGGGGCTGTTGTGCTCGGAGGCTGAGCCTAAATATATGAGCCACTTGTTATATCATAGGACAAACATTAAACTACAAAAAATAAAAAGTCAAAAATACCAGAAAGCATATCACAAAAGCTAAAAGCAAGGTAGCTTCACCTACACCACGTCAAGTAGATGGACAAGACAAGAAGCATGCAAATTCACAATAATGACAATAATAACATTCGTACATTACTATACGTCACCATTCACTCACCAAGAACACCATAATATAGCTACAACTCTACAATCTGAATCTTTAAAGCTTCCTTAGACAACCCCCTCTACATGTCAAATTGTTAACTTTGCCAAAGAGGAACATTCGGCAGCCAATTACAGAATCAAACCATCAAGGAAAAAATCTAATCACTGCAACAACTATAGCCATCAAAGCAAGATATTGAATATATTTAGGCCCCATTCATGTTTACTCGATACTTAACAAAAAACATAAAAGTTTCCTTGACAACATGTCACTAAACCACAATCAAGCATCATAGTACAATCCAGATTCAAAAAAATATAAATCAGATAATGTTAACTATGTCATCACACCACTTTATATAATTTATTGGCTAACCTGAGTAGCAGGTGCTGCTGACACGGAAGAAGCTCCAGCTGCAGCTGGCTTCTGCAATTAATAATATATACATAAGAGAATAACCATTAAATTTCAAGCTAAGTCATACAGACACCACAGTTAGCATGAAGCATTTTGGGATGTCCCAAATTTAAGTTAATCCCTAATTTTACAAAGCTTTTAATCTCTTACGCTAAATAAGTAGGAAATTACCCATACATGCTGATAATTATAAAAGATGGATTAACAATTGACCAGTTTAAACAAGCGTATTGTAATAATTCAAAACTACCAATCTTAATCTTTATATCTCTCAAATGCCACCTAGCAGTGATGCCACAAGAAATTCTTTTCATACAATTATAAGCTAAAAATAATATTAAAAATTCCAAAATTATACTTAAAAAAAATTAAATTGGACAGTGAAGGGATGTTCAAAATAAAAATAAGAAATACTTTAATGATACTAAAGGTACTGCATTGAGCAACGCACTGACAGAATAGACCACAAATCTCCAGCAACCATAATAAAAAGTATTAAGTTTGGCAAGGGGTCTTCATAGAACAACAAACACCGCCACTCATGTAACATTCAACAAGGCCCCTAAACCTAAGGTAAGACTATAGGGTGAAGAATCATTATTATTCAACAGAATTCTCTATCATGTGTGTGAATTGTGATAATACGAAAAAAAATAGCACTAATCAAGACAATTTCAACAAGCATTTATACCAACAATGTGAAGAGCCTACCTTACTTAACATGATAACAAGAAAACTGTTATCAGCAACTCCATTTTCTCCCAAAGTTGTTTCATCTTTAAGAACCTTTCCCTGATGGATGAGCATTTGCGAGGTAGCAGGATAGACATCTGCACCTTGTGCTTTCTCAATACTTTGCTTTACATTTGCAACCTAAACACGAAATTGGTGGTCAAGACCCAGCAGAAACACAAAAAAAATTGTGCCTCATATCAAACTCAAAGACAAGAATAATAGCACAGCTTATCCATTCACCATAAAACATAACCAAAAAGTATTAGAACTTTACATCAAAAGCTTAAAACACACATTAATAAACAACCAATTATCCTAATGCAATACACAAATAACCTATGGCTCAAAAACATCAAGAAAGACACCACAACGAAACCGTGCTCTGGACTTCCTCAGATGGAAAATTTAACTTAATTATACTACATTCTAACCCAAAAATTTCTCAAACTACTGTTCATCACAATAAACATCAATGGCTACATTGACATGCTGCCAAAAACAACCCATTACGACCACTCGTAGAGGTAATTGATGGTGATTCGCAATAGACGACATTAACTAAATTCCAACACTCCAATCATAAGAGATGCAGATACATCTAGCCACAAATCAACACAGTACGATATCCTAACTCGAAACGACAACAGAAAACTAAAAATCTTTCGCGTAAAACAACCCTTTTCTATCACCACACTTCAAAACCCTACCTTCTATCTCACAATCGCAAAAACCACACCAAATATCCATAACAACACACTATTTGATTACTACTACACTTAATTTCACAAACAAATAAACCCTAATCAAATCAATCAAAGACCCAAACATAAGCAAACACGCAATTCAATAAAACCTAATTCTCCCAACAACAAGAAACCCTTGAATTGACGAATTGGAACACTAATTAACGACGAAAAACACTAAACTCAAAAAAGAAAACCCTAAATTAGATCTAAACCAAACAAAATTCGCAAACAAAATTGAGTAGGGTTTTTTCAGTACGAAATCAATGAATAATCAAAACAACAAAAATCAAAGAAAGGGGATATACAGAATCATCGGAATTAGCTTCGATCTCGAAGTTAGTGCCCTTAAGAGTCTTGACGAAGATTTTCATCTTTTGATGAAGGAAAACCCTACCGTCGTCGTCGTCGTCGTCGCCGCCGGAGGAGAGAGAGTTGGAAACGGGTTTTATTAGAGGAAAAAAAATAAAAAGAAAAGATTTTCTCTCTCTAAAATAATTAAATTGAATATATTTATAGGCGGTGATGTCAAATGTGATGAGAGACTGTGTGGGATAGTGATTAGGTGATATACTTGCCTTGCGCAGTAGGATTCTTCTTATTTGAAAAAAAAAAAAAAAAAAAAAAAAAACCTAAATTAAAAAAATTGAGAAGAGTTCCAACCCCGTCAGTTGCAATGAGTTTTTTATGTTGGAACTGTCGGGGTGTGGGCAACCCTTGGACAGTTCGGAGACTCCGTAAATGGAGTATAGCAATAAGCCCGGATTTAGTCTTTATTTCGGAGACTAAAATTAGTAAAGAAGCGGTGGAAGGGGTTAAGGTGTGAATTGGTTATAGCAATGCATTTGGAGTCTCTAGTAGAGGAAGAGCAGGGGGATTGTGCATGTTTTGGAATGATGATGAAGTAGATTTTACTATTGTTTCTTTCTCCCAAAATCACATTTGTGGGGATGTGGTAAAGGATGGAATAAGGTGGAGGTTTGTTGGTGTTTATGGTTGGCCGGAGTCGGGTAATAAACACCAAACTTGGAGCTTAATTCGGCAGCTATGTGAGGAGGCCGATTGTCCTGTTGTTTTGGGGGGTGATTTTAATGAGATACTATCCTATGATGAAATTGAAGGAGGGGCAGACCGTGAAAGAAGAGAAGTACAAGGCTTTAGGGATGTTTTAGACTCTTGTGAGCTTCGAGATCTTGGCTTTAAGGGCCAATGGTGGACTTGGGAAAGAGGGAAGACAGTTAGAACAAGAGTTCGAGAACGGTTGGACAAATTCATTGCCTCGTCTTCTTGGGCAAATATGTACCCCCGAGCATCAGTTGAGAATCTTTTGAAGTTCAGCTCTGACCATGCACCAATAGTGTTACGCTTAACCCCTAAAGCTCGCAAAAGACGCAAAAGAAACAAGACTTTTAAATTTGAAACGGCTTGGCTTTTTGATGATTTTTGTGAGATGGAAGTGAAGAAGGTCTGGCAGTCCGCAAGTGAGAGGGACGTGGTGGGTAAGCTTGGGGCTACGGGGAGTGCATTGACTACTTGGAGTAAAGAAAAGTTTGATGATTTGGGGAAGCAAATTGAGGAGGTTGAGGCCGACTTAAAATTGGTGCAGCAAGACCGTGTTACTGCCGACTCTTGCGAGAGAAGTGTGGAGTTGGAACAAAAGTTGGATGACTTGTATCGAAAACATGAAGCATATTGGTTCTTAAGATCCCGAGTTTTGGAAGTAAGTGATGGAGATAAGAATACAAGTTACTACCATCACAAGGCCTCCCAACGGAAGAAGCGCAACATGATTGAAGGTTTGTATGATGGTGATGGTGTATGGCAGGAAGATGATGATCTCTTTGAAGGGATTGTCAGTTTTTTTTATTCGAACCTTTTTAATTCCTCAAACCCCACAGGTGAGAGTATTAATGAGGTATTGCAGCACATTCATCCGGTCATTTCGGATTCCTATAATGCTGATCTTATCCGACCATATACAAAAGAAGAGGTTCATGTAGCCCTGCTCCAAATGCACCCGTGCAAAGCCCCCGGCCCGGATGGTATGCATGCCATTTTCTATCAGAAATTTTGGCACATTATAGGTGATGATGTTTTTAATTTTGTTAGTAATGTGTTTATGTGGTATTTCTACTCTGGACCATGTGAACAACACTAATATAGCACTTATCCCAAAAGTGAAATCACCTACGAGTATGTCTGAGTATCGCCCCATAAATCTGTGCAATGTTTTATATAAATTAGTTTCAAAGGTGATTGTGTTACGGCTAAAGTCTATTTTGCCAAGTGTTATTACAGAAAATCAGAGTGCATTTGTTCCAGGACGCTTGATAACAGATAATGCTCTTATAGCTTTAGAGTTGTTTGATACAATGAGAAACCGTAGCAGGAGCAGAAAAGGGTCAATTGCGTTGAAACTTGACATGAGTAAGGCTTATGACAGGGTTGAATGGGGTTTTTTGAGAAAGCTTCTTCTCACTATGGGTTTTGATGGTCGATGGGTCAACTTGGTGATGCATTGTGTGACGTCAGTGTCATATTCCTTTATTATTAATGGTTGTGTTTGTGGGAAGGTTACCCCAACTCGGGGCCTGAGGCAAGGAGATCCACTCTCTCCCTACCTCTTTATTTTGGTGGCTGATGCTTTTTCCCATATGTTACAAAATAAAGTTCAGATTGGTGAGCTACATGGGGTTAAAGCAAGTAGGAGTGGCCCTGTTATCTCTCACCTTTTGTTTGCAGATGATAGTTTGCTTTTCACTCGAGCGACTCGACAGGAATGTGAAGTGATAGTTGATATACTCAACACATATGAAGTAGCATCTGGTCAGAAAATTAATTTTGAAAAGTCGGAAGTGTCGTTCAGTAGAGGGGTAAGTGTAGAGCAGCAAGAGGAACTTATAGGGATTCTTAATATGCAGATGGTTAACCGTCATAGCAAATATCTGGGAATTCCTACGATAGTAGGGAGATCGAAAAAAGCCATTTTCGGGGCACTACTTGACAGAATTTGGAAGAAGCTGATGGGGTGGAAAGAAAAATTACTCTCAAGGGCCGGGAAGGAAGTGTTATTGAAGGCGGTGATCCAAGCGATTCCAACATACTTAATGGGGGTGTATAAATTTCCTTCGTCAGTCATTCAGAGTATCCGGTCGGCCATGGCAAAAATTTTCTGGGGTTCGGGCTCTCAAAGGAAAATACACTGGAAATCATGGGATGTAATGTGTACGCCAAAATGTTTTGGGGGAATGGGCTTCAAAGACTTGGAGGTTTTTAATGTGGCTTTACTTGGTAAGCAAGCATGGAGGCTTATTCATAAGGAGGATTCTCTCCTTAGTAGAGTGATGAAAGCGAAATATTACCCCAATTGTTCTTTTATTGATTCGTATTTGGGCACTTTTGGGAGTTATTCTTGGAAGAGCATATGGAGTGCCAAGGCTTTGGTAAAAGAGGGGTTAATTTGGCGTATTGGGAATGGCACCATGGTTAATATTTGGAGAGACCCGTGGGTTGGAGATGATGAGGGAAGATTTGTGACAAGTCCGGAAGTAGAGGGGTTGAGTACTGTGAATGAACTTGTTGATTTCTCGAGAATGGAATGGAATGAGGAGCTCATCTCCTCTAATTTTAATGAAAGAGACACAAAGTGCATTCTTTCAATCCCCTTGGGTGCGCAAGCTTCGAAGGATACTATCACTTGGGCTTTTTCGAATGACGGTATGTACTCAACTAAGACATCTTATATGCTTGGTACTGGTTGCAACCTACACTAGTAGAAAAAAAGCATTAGGCACCGGTTCAAACCCGGCCTAAGGCACCGGTTTGAACCAGTGCCAATTTGGGGGGTGCCAAAAACCCAATTTTTAGCACCGGTTCAAAACCGGTGCCATAGGGTCAAATAGGCACCGGTTAACCGGTGCCATAACTTCTGTTTTTTTTTTTTTTTTTTTTGGGAATTAAAGTCAATTGGCACCCGTTTACCGGTGCCAATTCATGTATTTTTTTTAATTTTTTTTTTAGTTTGCTTTATCCACATACACACATAATATTTTATCCACTTAAATGAAATGAATATTGATCAAAATTGATCATTAAATAAGAAATATAATCAGAAACATATAACAAGCTTGAATAATACGAAATATATTGATGATTAAATTGTTATTTTACAATACAAAAAAATAAAATAAATTACAACATCAAAATCCAGAAAAAAAAAATTATAACATTAAAGAAAAAAAAAATTACACATCAAAGAATAAAAAAACTACAACATTGAAATCAAAATTCCAAAAGCAACACCTTGATTCTTCACCTGCATCAATTAAAACACCGACATTAATAAACTCACTGTAAACTAAAATTACGAAAATTAAGATTCAAACCCAGAAAAAAATTGAAATTCAAACCCAGAAAAAAATTAAGATTCAAACCTAGAAAAAAAATTAAGATTCAAACCCAGAAAAAAAATTGAAATCGCAAAAAAATTAAATCGAAAAAAAATTAAATAAAAAAATGCCCAGAAATAAAAAAACCCAGAAATGGAAATAAATTGAAATCGAAAAAACCCAGATAAAAAATAAAAATTAAAAAACCTAGAAATCGAAAAACAAAAAAACAAAATCGAAAACAAAATATATTAAAATCGAATAAACAAAAACAAAAATCGAAAAAAAATTCAAAATCAAACATAAGAAAAAAAAATTACAGAAATCAAAAAATAAAATATCAAAATCGAAAACAAAACATATTATAATCGAATAAACAAAAATCGAAAAAAAAAATCAAAATTGAAAACGGAAAAAAAATAACCCAGAAATCGAAAAACAAAAAATTAAAATCGAAAACAAAATGTATTACAATCAAAATCGAAAACAAAATGTATTAAAATCAAAATCGAAAAAAATAAATCAAAATCAAACCGGTTCGTGGTGTTGCATGTGCTCGTGGTGGTCTCCGTGGTGATGTTCGTGGTGGTCTTCGTGGTGGGCTTGAAGGAGAAGGAAAAGGAGACATGGTAGCGAAAGGGAAGGAGGAGGAGATGAGAAAGGGAAGGAGGAGATGAGAAAATCTGGTGAATGATGAGCGAAAGACGAGGAGATGAGTGGTGAATGATGAGCGAAAGAGGAGGAGAAGAGGAGAGAGAAAGAGAAGGAGAGAAGCGGCTTGAGTGTAGGGTTTGGGGGGGGGCCTTTATATATGGGAGGTTTTTTTTTTATAATTATAATAATGCTGAACCGGTTTTTTTTATTAATTGAGGAGCGGTTCAATTGGCACCGGTTCAAACCGGTGCCATTTTAGTTTTTGGCACCGGTTCAGGCTAAACCGGTTCCTTTTCTCTTCTTCTAAAATCCCGCCCATTTCTAGACCGATTTTGGGCACCGGTTTAGCCTGAACCGGTGCCATATGGGGGGTGCCTAATGCTTTTTTTCTACTAGTGCTAGACCAATTTCACCAAGCATGGTCTGCTATATGGGGGCTGGATGCATCGCCAAAAGTAAGACATTTTTTGTGGCGATTGTGTACAAATACGCTGCCTACAAAGAGCTTATTGAAATACCGTCATATGGTGGACGTTGCTCACTGTCAGTGGTGTGGTGAAGAGGACGAAACTGCTGCTCATGCAATCTTTCACTGTGTGCGTGTGAAGGAGCTATGGGAGGAGAGTGAGTGTGTTGCTGCTGTGCTTCAAGAAGGTGAATCTATGTGTGATGTTCTTGTGCGTTGGGGTGAGGTAGGGAGGAAAGTTAAGCAACGGGCTTCAATCCTTGCTTGGGTGATTTGGATGGAAAGAAATGATAAAATTTTTAGCGACAAAACCACCCCCAATGATGTCTTGCTTGCGAGAGTATATAAAGCCGTAGAAGAACATGGGTTATATAGCAAGAAAGTATATGCAGTTTCAGCAGCAAAGCAACAAGCTAGCAGCAACAAATGGAACCCGCCACCTGTAGGGGTTGTGAAGCTCAATTCGGATGCGTCATTGAGTGAGGAAGGTTGGGTTGGTATGGGTGTTATAGCTCGCGATAGTGAAGGTAATGTGCTCTTTGCTGCCACAAGACGAGTTAAAGCTTGGTGGCCTCCGGGGATTGCTGAAGGGAAAGCCATGCTTCTTGCTGTAAAGCTGGCTAAGAGGTTTGGGTATGACAATGTCATACTTGAATCGGACAACCAAGTTCTCATAACTCGCCTCACTAAAGCTTCTGTCTATTTATCAGATTTCGATGTAGTTTTGGAGGATATTTTGTCTACCAGTAGTGCTTTTATGTCTTTTCTTTGGTCTCATGTTAAAAGGGATGGTAACATTGTTGCCCATCACCTTGCTAAGCTAATGCCATTTGGTGTTGAACAGGTTTGGGTGAATCATTGTCCTGTAATGATCTCCCCTTATGTACTCTCGGACAAATTGTCCATTGATTAATTAATGCATTAGCCCGACTTCCCCTCAAAAAAAAAAAAAAAAAAAAAAAAATTATCTTGGTATTTTCTAAAAAAAATCTTTGGGAAAGAAAAATATCGGGTTTATGATATACGCTAGTTTTTGTGCCCCGGCGATGCCCGAGTAGTTTATGGACTTTTAAGATAAAATTATACTATTATAATTCAATTTGATTGAACATAGAATTCTAAATTAACTTTTTTTTTGCTACAAAGTAGCTCTATATTAAATTTATTATTTGGTATTTTACCGAAGAAATAATTCTAAACTAATAATCTTATTCTAAAATTCTATCCTAATTTGATTGAAAATAGAATTTTTACCTAATAATTTTTATCTTATGAAATCTATCCAAGGTGGCGTGATACTTGACAGTTTTTTTTTTTTTTTTTTTTTTTTATCATATGAAGTCTATTTAAATCTATTTCATTTGGATATTTTATGGAATATAATTGTCAAACTGGAATATGATATAAGGTATAAATAGTTAATAGATTATTGTTGTAAAATTTTAATATTAGTGTGTGAAAATTACTAGAAAACTTTTTATATCCTATAAACATTAAAATCATATTAGGTTAAAAGCCATTTCAAATTGACTAAAAGTTATCTTAAAATTGTTTTAACACTAATATGATCGTAAATCAAGTGTACATATAAAGTTTTACCAAGTATTTCCTAAAACCTCCACTTATATTGTAATTTCGTTGTCATATGCCCTATCCAAAATGTTGATGAAAAGGAAAATTATGGTCATTCGGTTTTACCCCTACATTGTGAAGCTCAAGCTTGTTTGCTCAGCTTGCAATAGACTTCATGCTCGATTACAATCCATCCTCATGGAATTTGCAAAATCTTGTGGATGTACTCCTTTAAATTTATGATCATTATTAACGAATAATACAAGTACTCCGTAATAAAAATTAGAAAGCTTATATGTTGGTGCAACATCCACAAGTTGAATGCCATGAAGTGCACACGACATGTCACATTAACTCACAAGTCAGTAAGTCACAACTATAAGACTTGTAATCTTGCTTTTCTACAAGTTTTCAATTACAACGTTTAAACTCATCCTCAACCCTTTTACTTGTTCCCCTACTTTCTGCTTCTCAATACGCTCCATTTCTCTCTCATCCTAAAGGTTATTTATTTATTTATTTATTTATTTACGGAGTATTTTTTTTGATATTGCCGACCTTGCTCAACCTGGAGATCTTCTTGTTGCTCTTCAAATTCCTCACTCTTTTACTAGTTTTTATACATTTGAGTTTAATTATTTCTGATTTTGATTTCTTAATTTTTAGAAACTAACTTCAAATTTTTAAATCACCGTTTATAAGGTTTGTTAGTAACGGATTTTAATTTGGCTGATGAAACTTTAATTTTAATCGATTTTTATTCTTAAAGAGAGTTTTGTATTTTAATCAATTATTCTTAAATTTTTTTTGGTGGATTCTGCATTTTGCTATTAACTTTATTTTCTGGTTTTGTAAGGTGCTGATATTGGGATTAATAATCTGAATTCCTTGTCCAGGAGCCTTTAATAGCAGCAGATTGGAGCAACATTGATTTGGTTTCATGATTTGTAGTATGCTTCAAGGTATAATTTCTTCCTTTTTTTTTGGTTTGAATTTAATGTTTAATCCGATTGTCATTTATATGCATTATTAATTTATTATGGGTATGTGGAATAATGATAATCTGTATTCAATTATTGTTGGTTTGTATGATTTTGACACTAAATTTTACAAGTTGCTTTGAAGTTGAAGCATTAATGAAATAGCATAGAATGCTTGTTGAATTTGGAGTATTGGGCCATATACATGTTGAATTTCAAGTCTGGGTTTGTTGATCTTGTTGTTTTTTGGTTTATTTTGGTGGGGAAGGAAGATCAGTGGTGGCATTGAGAAATTAAAACCTTAAAAATTAACATATACACAGTTTGGGTTTTAGTATTTTACTCTGAAATTTAGCATGTTAGTTTACTTCCTGTTTTTGTTTATTATGATGATAATTTAATTGTATGTTTGCTAATTTTTGCTAGAAATCTGGTTCAATTAAAGTATTTCCTGTTGATTTCATGATCCACTAATTTTATTTTATGAAATAAATCTGGGCACATCATACTTAACTTTTTCCTATACAGATGAATTATTTTTCCTTGGTGATATAAAAATGGATTTTATTGGTGAATCTTTCTAATGCTTGAATTCCTTGTTGTTTTATTTTTCTTGGTCATAGACCATGCTTATTTCATTGTTGGTTTTAGTACTTTGCTTCTAAACTTGGGTTTATGTTAGATTAAGATTCTTCTTCTGTTGTTGATCTATACACAATTATAACTCGAATCAAAGATAATATATGAATATAAATATACTTATTGTTGGTTTGTTGTTAGTCACTTGTCCTCTTTATCCATTAATTCACTTCAAGTCGTTAATGTTGATATTTTGTTGAGTATGCTCTTTCAAAACAGCTAACTCTGCTATTGTCAAAATCAGACTAGTCAGGATTTAGAACCTGAGGTCCTTTTGGGTGTTTATGGCCTTCTCTCTCTCTTTTTTTCTTTTCCTAGATGAACTAATTACCTTTTTTCATTCTTTGAATGATTCCTGCCCATGATTCTGTGATTTATGATCAGCAGGTAAGCTGGCTTCGTAGGTCAACCGGACCTATTCTTTTGAATCCAATTATTTTTGTACTTGCCTTCCACTTTATCCTAAACCTTGCGTCAAAATTTCTTATCCTCATTTTTTGAGTAATTTAAGCATTAAAGAGCCATCTATCTTAGTTGTGGGGATGTAAATCTTTATTAAACACTAGGTCAAAGGTAACAACTTTTTCTTAGTCCATCTTTACAGTTGTTAACATGTAGTATTCTAAAACTTTAGGATTTCTTCCTATTCCTTTAATCTCCTAGCTTCCACTATATTAATTTGTTTGATATTTGAAGCAAAAAACTGATTTGCATGCTGAACCCGACCCGTCTTCATATTTTGCCCTCACTATAAATAATTAGTTGCCTTCTTTGTAGTTTACTTGATGTCTGTCCTAATTACTAATGCATAATATTTAGTCACTTTTGGGTTGTTCTAAGTTCTAACTTCAATATTCCAAAAGCATACATTTTAAATATTTGCGTCTTTATGAACAGATAGCAACAGTGAGTCCCACAAATGGGATGTGAGTTATAGCATTGCCCTCGGTTTAGGGTAACTTTTTGCCTTTTTTGGGTAACTTAAAACATAATACAATTTTTCTACAAATAGACAATAAGTAAAGTTGTATAAAGGTAATTTAATTACATTCATTCACTAATATTTGATTTTTAGTCATTTAAAATGTGATTCTTTACTAATAAAGCGTAGATAATTTTTATTTGTATCGGGTAACTTTTATGCATATTGGGGTAACTTTTATTCATTTCAGAGGTAACTTTTGATCACTTTATGCTATCTTTATAATAGATATACAATAATTATTGTACACCCGATTTTTTAAAAAGTTTGTGCCCTTCAAACCCCAAAATGCCCCTCCGCCAACTACACTCGATTAGTCCACAACTCCATATTCTCTCCCCAACTCCATATTCTCTCCCCAACTCCAAATAACAGAAATTTTATAACAACATTTTGTTGGTTGAATCTAGCGTACTTTTGAAACAGTTTCTGAGCCTTCTCTCCTCCATTGAAGCAGCTTCTGAAGTAAGATCTCTTTTTTTAAATCATCAAATGTCAATTAATTTCACAACATAGTGCAAATCGTCAATTTTATCCAATTTAGGGCTCTTCAATTGTGGATTGATTATTGAAGCAGTTTGTTACTTAAATGTTTGTGGAATTGTGAATTTGCGATTGTTACTTGCTGATACCTGATTTTTATGCTTTTAGTTTCAAATAATCATGATGTTAATGGTATATGTTTCATCAAATTTGTGAAATTTTAATGGTAGGGAAACACGATTTGTTGGTCTGAAAAACACAAATCTTTTAAAGACCTTGATTTTGAACATGTTGGTCTTTTTCTCCTGTTATCGGGCATTGATTAGTACATTTATTGTATTGTCTCAATAACGTTGTGCAAAAATTGGCACTAAACTATTGACATTGATTGATATTTGCAACAGTATCCCATATAATAGCATTGCATAATCATAGGACTGAATGACTGATGATATTTCTGCTTTTTTATTTTTTATTTATTTATTTTTTTTTAATATATTTGAGTTTCATATGTGTTATTTTTTCCCTTTGTGATACTACGGAGTATTTTTCAACACATTGAATCTTTGTACTTCTAGGCCTTGCTTAAAAAACCATGATGGATTTGTGGGGGAAAATGTAAAAAAAACCGGTGTTTTGTGCGGTGAGCTTGGCAGTGCGAGATGGGGAGCAAAAAGGAAAGAAAGGTCATTATTATTGATCAGAATGACAAAAATCCATGGTGGTGGTTACTTAACAAAGGTTTTGGAGCCTTGTTCTTGTGCATCTCCCTTTTCGCGTTGCTAGTTAGGCTAGCTGTTTCACTTCATCCTTACTCTGGTGCTGGAAATCCCCCAAAATTTGGCGATTTTGAAGCGCAGAGGCATTGGATGGAGATTACTACTAATCTTCCTGTTAAGGAATGGTATCATAATAGCACTGCCAATGACTTGAGCTACTGGGGCCTCGACTACCCTCCACTGACTGCCTATCAGAGCTATGTTCATGGCATCTTCTTGAAGTCATTTCTCCCTGAATCTGTTTCCCTTTTCACTTCTCGTGGTCACGAGTCTTATCTTGGGTGAGTTGTTTCTGGCAGATTCCTTAGTATTACACATTTACACAGCTCTCTGAGGATCCTACAGTGGTAGACTAGAAGTTGCCTTTCGAACTGATTGTTTCTCCATTTCCTGTAGAAAGCTGCTGATGAGATGGACAGTCTTATCTTCTGACATATTGGTGTTCCTGCCTGCCGTATTTTACTTTGCTCTATCATATAGCGCTAGCCGCCCTCGCAGGCATCAGAGTGATGTAGCTTGGCTTGTGGCAATGATTTTACTGAATCCATGTCTTATTGTTATAGACCATGGCCATTTCCAGGTTCTTCTCCCCTTCTCCTGTAATATTTTCGATACTGAATGTTTATTAGTATTGACTCATTAACTTTATGTTATTTTCCAGTTTGTATTGACTCATCAAGTTTATGTCATTTTCCAGTTCAACTGTATCAGCTTGGGTCTCACTATTGGTGCTGTTGCAGCTATTATCTCCAGTAGAGAGCTGGTAGCTTGTGCTTTGTTCACTCTTGCTTTGAGCCATAAGCAGGTGCTTCCTTATCCCTTCCTTAGTCAAGACATCCTATGTGAGCAGGGCCTGAACTTGGTTGGCCCCTAGTTCAGGCCCCAGCAGCGAAACCAGTCCAGCCTTTTTTCTGTTTAATTTAATGTAAATTGTTTGTGAAGGGATTGGAATTACAAACAAGCATTGGTCTAATGTTTGAAACCTCCATATTATGAATTTATCTCTATGGTTCAAATTTACCCCCTCCCGCTATTTTCCCAAACAACTATATTTATTTTTTGGATGCAAGTTTGGCCACTGCATGTGAAACTATCCAAATCCCTTGCTTGATTTGTTCAAATTTTTATCATTAATGCATTTATGATGTACTTTTGACTTATGGCTTGAGTTTATGCATTTCTTGTAAAGATAAAAGGTAACACAGGAATGCTGGTTATCCATTTGTCTTACATGTTACTCGTAGTTGTTAGTGACCTATTTCCCTTGTTTTTTTGTTAATCTGTATAAAGGAGAAATTGGGCCGCCATTTTTCTGAAGAAGATGTAGTGTGCTCTTTCAAATATGAATTGGTTGATGTATTATAGGAGATACAAAGAGCAGAGAAAAAAATGCTTTAAGAATTTAATTCAAATTTTCTTTCCTTAATTAAGAATGAGCCTTTGCATTCAACCCTGTTTGGCATAGGCAAGAACTTGTTAAGGGCTTGTTTGACATCATTTTTTGTTTTCAGTTTCCTGTTTTTTTGAAAACTAAAAACCAAAAACAGGAAACAAGAAAAAGGTGTTTCCACTTTTCTGTTGTCAGTTTTCAAAATTATCATGATTTTAATAAGTCTAAATATTTTTTGATTCGTTATGTGACATATATAATATACTTTTAAAAAACAAAAAACCAAAAAACAGAAAACCACAGCAATGCCAAACGAACCCTAAGTAGGTCGCTGCGTTTAAATTAAACTGACTTGTGTTACAGCTGTCTTTTCTTGTGTTTTGAAGTCGTTTAATTCATTGTTTTCTGACAGATGAGTGCATATTTTGCTCCAGCATTTTTCAGCCATCTCCTTGGTAGATGCTTAAAGCGTCGCAATCCTTTCCTTGAAGTGTCAAAACTGGCCTTGGTTGTCATTGGAACATTTGCTGTAGTCTGGTGGCCATATCTGCATTCAAAAGAAGCCTTTTTAGAAGTATGAAATAGTAAACCTTCTCATGCCCTTCTGCTAAGTACTTGTTAGATGGTATTTATCGCCATTTACTTGTTCATAATTATGGATGAATGCACAGTGATCTCTTCTTTTTCACTTTTAAACTCTTCTGTTTATTAAATTGTGTTGCTTGTGGTGGAAGCAGCATGCTTTTGTATAACTGTTAAAATTAAACTGCTGAATTATTATCTTATGATTTATGATTTGTTTCTAATTGCCCTGTCGTATGCAAAGCATAAAGTTTCTTGGACTTTCCACTTTTTAACTTTTATTTATTTATTTATTTTATGAATTTAGAATTTGTGATATTTTGAAGAGTGTTATGACTCTGGCTTGCATTTGATTGGATACTATCCTATCTCCTCGAAACCCATGATGAAAATCTTCCTTGCTTTCCCCTTTGGAAGAAACCTCCACAATGAAACATAAGATAAAGAACACGTTTTTGTTGCGAATTGGGTTCTTGATGACAAACATCTTATAACATTCTGTGACCAAGTGACTGTACTTCTTAATTAATGAAACCGCGGTCTTCTTATTAAATTTTTAAAATGTGCAGGTTCTGGCCCGTCTTGCTCCCTTTGAGAGAGGAATTTATGAGGATTATGTTGCCAACTTTTGGTGCACTACATCAATTCTAATTAAGTGGAAGAAACTTTTTGATAACCAGTCCTTGAGGCTTATTAGCCTTGTAGCCACCGTGTCAACTTGTTTGCCTTCAATGGTTCAGCAGATAAAGGATCCAAGTAACAAAGGATTCCTCTATGCCTTACTTAATAGTTCCTTCTCATTTTACTTGTTTTCATTTCAAGGTAAGCTTTAATTCACTTTCATCTTATTGACCATTACATTTTGATGATTTTAGCACTTATTGCTGAACTTCTTATATTCATGGCATAATTCTGCAGTCCATGAGAAGTCAATCTTACTGCCTCTTCTGCCAGCAAGTCTATTGGCTCTTGAAGAACCTTTGGTTTTCAGATGGTTAACTCATTTTGGGTTATTCTCGATGTTTCCACTCCTATGTCGTGACCGGCTTGTTTTGGCATACATCGCACTCCTCTCTCTCTTCTACCTCCTCTTTTATGCTCCCAGGAAGAAAGACTCAGGGAAGATCAGATCATTTATCACCTTCAAATTATTAGTCATGAGCCTTCTTGTTTTTTGCTCTTTCGTGCTCCACGTAGTTTACATGGTTATGAATCCTCCAAAAAGGTATCCTTTCCTATTTGAAGCTATAATTATGTCTGTTTGCTTCTCTCAGTTTGTTTGGCTCGCACTTTATACCAATACAAAGCAATGGCTGCTGCATAAACAGCCTACTTCATTAGAAAAGGATAAGAAACTTCGTTGATCTCGTTTATGATTAATTGTTTCTAATATAACATTTAAACATGCCTTTTTAATGATATATTGTTGATGAATTTAAGTTTAAGCGTTTCTGATTTGGAGCATCAGGCTTTTTTATTTCTTTGTACAGACATACCTGGCCTTGTTTCTTTAGTTCCAGTCTATTTATTAACAGTGTACTAGGCTTATCATCTTGTATGAAATTTCTATTCCATGTACATTTATAGAAGTCGCTATTTCACAAACATCCAAGGAGAATTAAACCTTACGGTTAGTGACAGTTGCTTGACGGCATTATGATTGTTTGTTTCCTTTAGCTATACTTCAAAGTATCGTGACAATTGAAGGTATTTATGCGGTATTTATTCTCAGTCAGTAAGATTATAAATAGTGTACACTTGCAATCACAATGAAATTTGGATAAAGCTACCAACTATAGCCGTTTTGGTAGGTGTAGTAATGAAATTGTTATGTGTTTGCTTGAAGCAAGTTGTTTTTGAAGATGGGTTGGTAAACTTAAATTGGTTGAGAGGATGAAGATCTATTCTTGACATGTAATACGACCTTTGGTTGAGATGAAGTATAAGTTAGGATAGCCTTACTCTACCTTTAGTGGATAAGGAATAGGGAACTACCGACTCAGGAGCTAGAAATAGCAGTCCAGACCTGATCCTCGAGATTTTAACAAACTAAACTAGTTGACAACCAGCTTTGCTCGGCTACCTCATTGTAAGATGTGGACCAACTAGATGTTTGCAATTGGTAACTCCTATCCGTCCTAGACAAGTGCACAATAACTCTTAAAGAAAGAATGTGTAGCCTGTTTATTAAATGACATATAAATGTTACGTAGAAGGAACGATGAAGAATGGAAGTCAAAAACCTGCGTCCTTACCAAATTCAATGCATTCGTCTCATCTATTCATCGCATTACATTCTTCTGTCAAAAAGGGCAAAAATTTAATTGTATAGTGACAACACCTTGCACATCAATTTAGCTGTGAATTACTACTCCGTATAAAATTTCTCAAACAAGTTTTTAATGATATACAAGTACTCCGTAACTAATGTTTCAAAAAAAAAAAAAAAAAACAAAAAAAAAAAAAAAAAAAACCAACTCCATAACTAATTACTCCGTATTACGTAGACAATGTTCGGATTATTGTATTTATTCACGTAGAATGAGATTGATTTTTATTATATTCGGAAATTAATTTGATGAAAAATAAAATTGTAATTGAATATAAGATTTAAATATTATGAACAATATTTTATACGATTTGTTTAATAACATTTTATGATCATTACGGAGTACTATGTAATTTGTTTAAAGTGTTAGTTATTTCTTTTTCCTTCAATGATTTATTTAATTTCATATCTTAGATTTATAACATTATAGACAAATACTAGAATTTGTTATATACACTATATAATATACGGAGTAAAAGATACAGAGTACTAATATAATGGTAAAAATTACTCGTAGTTAGTAGTTCACTAGTTCCTTTACCTCTTAAGTTGGAGGATGTGAGTTTCAACTTCAAGGCTTGGTTTAAAATTTTCTCATTATGTGAAGGAGTCTACAAATGCTAAACCTTTCAAGGAATGGCAAAGTATGTACGGAGTACCAGAATATTGTAATTGAGTTAAATAATTCTACTTTAATTATTTTTTCTCCTATAAAGTACTATTTCTACTGTTTCAGGTACACATAATTGAATTGTTTCAAAAAAAAAAAAAAAAGTACACTTAATGAATACTTGTATTGAATTTTTATTATTATTATTATTTATTATTATTCGAATGACTTGTGAAGTTGTGATTGTATAGTGTTGGGCCTGAATTGCAGTTGTTTTGTCCAAAAATAAAGCAGCAATTTCTTCAGAAAAAATGAAATAAAAAATAATACGAGTTGGCCCAATTCTATAGAATCTCATTGTTCATCGATTGTACCCAACTTGTATAGTGTATAATTACACCCCTTTTACAATCTATCTTATATTATTATACTAAAAGACAAGCGCCTCAATGTGAGGATGACAAATGTCACTCTCTCATTGGCTTATATTAAGTATAAAATATATCTATATAATTATTGTTTACATATTCAAGCATAGTATTTTTGTTAAACTTCAAACAATAAAAGCAAGTTTCTATACATGTATAAGATTTTCATGATTTCCTAACATAACTATTGACTTAATTTTTTTATAATAAATATATACTTGCTAATACTAGAAATATTCCATAAAGTATTTCCAATCTTTATTTATAGTCAAGTTAAAGAATAATACTGTAACTAATTTGAAGCAATATTAAAGTGGCATAATTTAGGAAACAAATATTTCGTATTTTGAAAGGCTAATATTGTTTTTTTTTTTTTTTTTTTATGAAATTTAAATAAAATATATAGAATTTAGTTTGACATCAATTATGAAATCAATACAAACATTTAAAAAAAAATCAGATGTACAATAAAATATTATGCACCTATTATAAAAGCTACCCTGTAATGAATGAAAGTTATTTATGCTTTATTGATAAAAGTTACCCAAAATAGTCTACAAGTTATACTAAATTCAATTCAAGTAATCGGTTGAATACAAAAGTTTTTGATTAAGATACAAAATAGTGTAAAAATTACTTTTATCGTTTGTTGTACTAATATTGAATGCTGAGCCGAAATGTTGTCTTGGAAAAAAATACATAATCTTGAACAAAAATTTAATTTTAAACGGCCTTTCATTTTCTATACAATGTCTTTTACAATGACCTATTGTTTTTCTTGCATTAAAAATAATAAAAAAAAAATTAAAAAAAAACTGAACCAATAGCCAATCTAAAGAAGAATAATAAAAGTTAAATTGAATTAGACATTTGACGGAAAAAGGATAGATATAAAATGTATTATAGCTATTACTCGTGTTTTAAATTGTAATATTCGTATTAACAATGCTATTCTAGATATATAACAATCATGTGCAATAATTTATGTTGTTTTATACATAATAATACTTTTAACTATAATAGTATGTGTATATGATATAATATTTTTTATAATATAAAAAAGTATATGTATATAATATAATATTTTATAACACGTGTTCTCCATATCAAGTGTTTGGTTGTTGGTGTAGTGGTGATTGAGACTACACTTGGTAGGGAGGACCTGTGTTCGCTCCCCTACAACAATCGGAAGGGGAGTGGAACCTAATAACCTAGAAAATATCCTCAAATCTGGATTAGCCCAAAGGGTGAACCGGATAGAACACCCAAAACTCAATGCATATTTGACGGGAATCAACTTATCCTTTATCTATCTTATACAAAACTCCAAAGTCTAATTTTTTTTTTTCAAAATATAATAATAACATTTGTAAATTTTTGTTAATATGAAAGATATAAACCTATGCTATTCAAAAAAAAAAAATGAAAGATATAAACCTATCAAAATGTATATATAGTTAAATTGTTTAATAACTTATATCGAATGCGTAGTTTTATAAAAATTATTTGCATGTAATCATTAATTGTGTTGGATGTGTGTGTAGTTATGCAATGTCCAAAACTTTAGTTGAGCGACTTTGATTTAGTGATTGTACGGTAAAAAGATATTGACTTCGATCTTGAAACCTATAGTATAATAAATTCTAAATAGAAAAATTAAAACAAAAGGAAATGAAAATAGTAAATGGCTTTAAATATTGAAATAAACATAACCTTTTAAATCAATTTAGCGAATTCAAGAGACAATTTTAAGGCTTTTAAAATTAAATGGGGGGAAATATATGTAAAAAGAACATTTTTAGATATATGAATGTTCATGCACTATTATAAGAGTTTTGTTAACCATTTTATAATTAAGGTAGGGATAAATCTTAGTAATATATACTCCGTATATTTTATTTATATAAAATTATCAGTATCCATACCTATATACGAAGTATTTGTGTTGTATACTATATTTAATCGGCTGTTGGTTATATATATGACTATTATATAATATATAGTTTTTGGCACAATGCTTAACTTAGGAAAATATATGTTTTGGTAGGTCAAATATAAGGTTATTATTGTGTCTATATATTTAATGAGTGCGACGGGTAAATAAAACATGTATATATTAGATTGATTGTAGCTACTGATGCGGATGGTATGATAAGAAAATTTTAGTTTTTTCTCAACGGGAGATATAAATGAATTAGCCCACTTCTTATATAGCTATGTGGAGTATTATTCAATTATTTTTCAAGTAATAAAATAACATTATAAAAAATTAAAAGAAATTTAAATAACATAAAATTTTATTCAAATAACGTTTCTTTAATTTTTTTTTTATTTTTTTTATTGATCATTAGTAACCAAGTCATTTAATAGTAAATGAATTACCTTTGTTTTTATTTTTATTTTTCCTACGGGTTTAATAATTTGATTTATAAATCGTGCATCGCACGGGCACTATGCTAGTTTTACTATGAAAATACTAATCATTACCTTTTCTAAAATTGACATCTTTACTTTATATTACTGAACATTCAGTAAGTGTTCAAAAATCAATTACTTTATGTAAATGTCAGTTATTCTAGTTGGTTAAAGTTTTAGGTGTAACCGTGTAATATATCAGTGTCTGAAACCGGAAATCAAATCTCGTCCACATCATTAGCTTTTGAGACTCTTTCAACACTTTTTTTTTATTTTTTTTTAAAAAAAACCCTTTTTATTTCATTTTTAATAGCTTTTAATTATTTTGAGCTCACTTTAGACGCAAATTATGTATTGATTTTTAATATTAGCAAGTACAGAGTAAAATTATTCTAAATTATACGAGTACATAGTAATAGAATAAAAGAAAAAAACCTAATAAAGTGATTGGGAAACATAGAAGTAATAGAACCATTAAATTCACTCCAACAAGTAAATTTGGTGGACGTTTTAGGAAACTAAGCTTCGTTACGAAAGTAATTACAAAAATGGTTGCGTGGCAAAAGTATTTACAAAAATAAGCTTCTGGGGTAAACCGCTGCCTCGGGCAGCGTTTTACTTTCTATTTTTTTAAAAAAAAAATTCTGCTACAAAAACGCTGCCCCAGGCAGCGTTTTTATAGTTTGACTTTTTTTTTCCTCGTTTATTTTTTTTTAAAATTAATTAAAAAAAAAGGCAACAGCACAAAACGCTGCCCCAGGCAGCGTCTTATGCTTGAACATAAGACGCTGCCCCAGGCAGCGTCTTATGCTTGAACATAAGACG